TTTCGGAATGGTGTTATCAAATCCTCAAGGAGCACAATCAAGCAGTTGTTATGGTATATTTGGCATAACCTAGTGAAGCATTACGATAAAATGCAGAATTCAAATTTGGAATTAGCAACTCATTAGCCAACCGTAAAAACTTTTGAGTCGTTTGGTTTGTGTTTTGAAACAAAATATGACTCCTTAATAGCAGTAATCCCTTTTCAATGTTTTTACCGTAATCTTACAGTACTGAAGAAAGATCCGTGATTCGCTCTACGTTTTTCACTCAGGTGTATCCAACTCTACAACGTGACACTTTGTATTAAGAAGCAACGTTCGATACATTTTGGGACAACCCGTCATGAACAGATCTGCTTGGTGAGGACTTCGTGGAATATAAGTGGTTTCTGGTAGATCGACAGCTCTTCTCCAAAATCACTGGGATAAAATCAAGAAAATAAGACGTATCCTTTGTAGCTACTAAGCGTCTTTTTTTTGTTAGAAAGGAAAAGCGTAGAACTCTGATTTCTGAGAAAATCACAATTCCGTAGAGAAATTCCGAGAAAAATGGTACATAGCTATCACATCCTCATCTTCTCTCTTCCCGACTCATGCATTTGAAGAAGTTATAGATGCACATATCAAAAAAGTACATTAGTGGTCTGACTATGATAGTTTTCTACTGTTTGTTTTGGAGATCAGATAGGCTGTATTTGTATGGCTTCGGACAGTACTTCAACAAAAGATATGACTATAATGTATTGTAAAATCTTCAATCAATTATCACAAAAGAGTACTAAAGAATAATTTGCTTAATTAAAAGGTACCCACGTTTTACTAAAGATTTTAACTTTGCAATCTCGCGCTCAGCAGTCATTTCGCGACTGGCCGTGGTCAAGGCCATGTTTTGTTCGCTTCTCGCTTCACGCTGTCTTGTTCTTGTAATCTTGTCGATGAGCAGGTTTGACACCATTTTACGCTGTATCAAACTATCTTTCATTACAATTATTTCTTGAGCACACTTCTTCAAGGAATTTTTTGCTTATTATATCACTATCTCTGCTCTCTGTAGATTTTTCTTCAATCTTTTCTCTCAAGATAAATGATTTTCGTTGGGCAAAATGACCTTGTCCTTATTACTATCATAACTGATTACTTACGACCATCACGTGATCTCGAACTCTCTAACAAACGAAAGGTAAAGGCAACGTCTACACAGTATTTTGGCTTTCATGTTGTCAAAAATTATGGTATTTTAGAACAATTCCCATTATTTCTTTATAATGAGACACTAAATGACAATCACATCTCTAATTGCGTTGAGTTTTCATCGGTAGTTTTTACTCGAAGGAATTAATTGTGAATTTAACCTCCATGGACACAACCAGATATTTGCGACCAGAAAATCACGCGCAACCAGAAAAATTGAATCAAAAACAGGGTCTACGTGCGTCATGGTTGATTTGGAAATTAGGAGTTCCTTAATTGCTCAGAAGATGTTGTGACCTGTATGTCAGATGGAATTCAATGTTGATTTGTTCGTGTTGGGTCGGTTGGACTTAGGTGGTCTTTGAAAAAAGGCCGTTTAACCCAAGCATAAACGAATTATTTTTTTACTTCGGACGAAATGATTCATTTCTAAACCTTCCCCGAAATTCATCAAGAATGTATGGGTTTATAATTCCATGATAATCAGTTTAGTGAAAAAAAGGCAATATATAAAGTGCTATAAACCTCCTTGTTCTCTGAGTCAATTTTGAATGAAATAGATTTTTACAACTCCACGAATTCCCTTCTCTATTAGGGGTTTTATTGTGCAGTAATAATGTTTGCTGTGAGCAATTTCCCGAATTTGCTTTACTTCATCGGCTTTCCAAACATTCAAAAATATTGCTCCGTCATGCATCAATAAAAGAGACAAAAACACTGTATGTATAATTTGCTATAGGCACTTACGAATTATGATTTCCAGAAACGCGTTTTCCGAATTTTCATAACTTTTCCTGTTCGTTTCTAACTCACGCTGAGAACATTGAAGTTTATAGAAGAGTTTTTGAGTTTTGAAAACCTTTAATCCGATTTTTTTCCATTCGCCATCTGACTATTTGGGTAGCAAACTTCTGCTCAAAAGGACCTTGGCATTTTGAAAAGCTTAGAATATTCAAATTGTCATAGCAGATCTACTTAATTAGAATAATTCAAAATTTGCAGAGCTTACTAAAGCACTTTATCTGGATACTTTTTGTACGCAGGAAACACCAAAGATCTTCATACAGCACATCTTGTTTTTGCTCGCTCTTTAGCCCAAACGAGAAATGAACATGGGATACTGGATAAGTCTCTTTGATTCGCATCATTGACTTTTTGAAGATCGAGCTTTGTAGGGCGTTGCCCCATTCCTGAAAATGGGGCATGGAGCGATGATTACTAAAAAAGATATGGTGTTTACATCTAAAATAAGGAGTATATGACGCAATCACGGGATCCACTTGGTATTTTGGTATCCGTGTGTCTCATTTTTGTCACAGAATGCTAAAATTAGCAAAATGGTCCTGACTACTTTGTGGGCTACACCCCTGAACTTTACATCGACCTTGTGATTGTTGCTCGCAGTGGAAATTACACTGTGGGCAATGTTCCGATCGCCGGTTCCAAGTGAACGAAAAGATCTGGCGCCTCGCACTTTACACTTTTTCAGTGTCCCCTTCTCTCGATGATATTCAAAAATATTTCAAGTCAATTTGCATATAAAAAATGGACATGAAGTATAAGATGAGAAGTGACAGTATCCTAGATGTTCATTTTTTCGTAAGAAACTCAGTTGTGTTTTCCGTGCCATATACATCATTATTTTACTATCATTTTATTTTTTTTTGATTCGCTTAAGCATTAATCGAACTCGAACTGATAATTTTCTTCTATAGAGACTTTAGGAAATGAATTATAAAGATTGGCGGGACGTCTACCAGGCAACTGACCGAGACTTCGCAAAACGTTTGGGAAAATTTGCCGGCTCATCTGCGGAATTTCTGTAAGCGTGCTGCGAGAGTTCCGAAGAATGCGAACCACAACAGCAAAAGAGAACACCTAAGCAGAGATTTGAACCTCAACATCGAAACATTTAAATGTCTGCGGAAGTATTGGCACGTCAAAGTGCTGCGGAAGCGTTGACATTTTTCCGAGGTTCCGCAGCGCTTTGTTAAAAGTTCTGCGGAAGTTCCCGTTCTCAACGTTTCCACTTTTGCAATGGTGAAAATCCTGCGGAACCGCTGCAATTTTTGCTTGTCCTGCGGAAGTCCCGGTGAATTGTTTGAATAAGATCTGAGAAGTTTTTGTATGAGAGGAAGTTGAAGTTATGTGTTTATCTATTGTTAATATCACTTGATGCTTACTCATACAATTTACAGCATAAAGTAACTTTGTTTTTATGCTCTTAATAACCTACAACAATTTTTATACAACGTGCCAAATTTTCCTCTTCGAATCAAAGCTCCAAGTGGCCCCGTTTTTTCGCGCTTAAGGTCCTCGTGATTGTGAAAACGGAAGTTGCTTTTTTTTCCGAAATCAAGAAATGGCTCAGAAACAGTGCGAGGAGGCGATGCGGAAGTTTTTCTTCGTAAAATCGAATTATCGCTAATCTGAAAAATTTGCGTGACCATAGAATCTGTGCGCGAAACGAGGACAGTTCCATTAACAGAGGTAGTTGCGAACAAAGTCGTAATGATGTCCTGTTACGGTTAATGGTTTCCATGGACTACAGGCACGAATGCCGATGAGTAACGTTTAAGGTATCGGTTTATGTAAAGGTTGAGACATTGTTTTTTTTTTACGATTTTTCGTCTGCTTGAATTATATTATAACACTGCTTGCTAGTGTTTTTCAAAAAAAAAAGACGCGTAGTCGCCCTATTCATGTGACATCACCGTAGCGTAGCCATATTTCGCTTCAAAGTAGACTAATTCTTAATCCAAGGGCACCATTCGACTCAGCTCGGCGCGGCGCATCTTCTGACATATAGAATTGCCCGTTTGGACACAGTAGGAGAGCAGATTCCACGAATCGTTCCAAATTTAGCTTATGGTAGGTTGCGTTGTGAGTGCAATGAATATGCACACTGGGTAACCTACCGTAAGCAAAAATCTGAAACGATTCTGGAATCTGGCCTACTACTGTGTCCAAGCGGACACTTCTATATATCAGAAGATGCGCCGCGCTGGGCTGAGTCGAATGGATAAATGCAGAATTCGTCCACTCGAGATAGCGAGATATGGCCACGCGACGGTGATGTTCATACATGAAGCGACATTCGCGTTTTTTTCCAAAAAATGTGAGCGGTACTGTAATTTTACGTGGCAGCGCTGCGAAACGACGCGATTTTGCACAACATTTTGGTGTGGGAAGCTTTTGTGGTTATTTACGAAAATGCAAGTGTGTTTTGTAAATTACTCTGAACATTTTGTGAGGGTCGGGGCCTATGGGTCCCAACATGCAAAAAATTGGAAAAATACCAGTATGTGGAAAAATAATAGACCTACAAGTATTAAGAATTTGCAAGAGGTGTGGGCCACCGACGGTCCAAGCAGAAAGTGCGTGTGCAACCGGACCACATCGTCGTCAAGGGGTTAAGTAGGATGAATTGACTATAGCTCCTTGGCAATTACATTTGGGCGCGAAAAATTGCCGTTGAGCGCACTTTTTGAGTTTCGAGCCCCAGCGTAATTTTTTGTTGTCGACAGCGCAAAAATACTATCTTCGAAATCTACCGTCGTCTAAGATTCGGATAAATTCCTGATAATCTGTGTAAATTTTTGTTACTCCTTACTTTCATGCTTTTTTAAAATGCGGGGTTTTTGCCATTGTTGTTGTTTTTTTGGGCTTCCTTCTGTTCGGAAACGTTTTAACCTAGTCCACCTAATCCTACCACTTCCGCCTCCGTCTTGACATATTTTGACTCAAGAATTTCGTTTTTCTTGTCACTAATGCGTGGAACCGGTCAGCAGTTGCCTAATTTGGTTGGAGGTGTGACCGACCGGCTGACTGCAGTGCGGTTGAATCGCTGGCGACTCGCGCGTTTTGTTACGAAGCAGGCGGAGCGCTGGCTTTCAAAGACTGTCAGGGGCGTTTCTGAAGCGCTGAAATCTCCTTTTCTGCTCCTACAAACCACGACGTCTGTGCTGGAGAAGTCTCAGCGATGGCTTTGACTGGAATTGGATTTCTCTTTATCGTGGCGATTACCCTGACGGATGCGGAGGTACTGATGAATAGGTGAGCTGCAATTCACTTAATTTCCTGTCCTGTTATCATACTTTCTTCTTTTCAACAGTCGCGGGAACACAGTTTGTCTGGCATATTCTTTTCTTTCCTAAAATTTGTCTATGCTTATTTGTACATGCATTATTATATTCCTTCATTCACCGTCCTACACTTTTCTCCTTGTTTTGTCCGAAATTCTTTGTTCAAATATTCTTGTGACGGCTGCAGCTGCAATCTAGGTTTACCTAAAATTATTGCAATGCTGAAAGGTTATTCAATTGAAAAAAAATGTTAACAAGCGCTTTCACATCAAGAAATTCTTGATGCGTCTCAAGATTCTGCCTTTTTTGCATTCAATTTGCATCAAAGGTAGTTCACATTGCGGCAAAAATTACGAGGTAAACATTTTAATTCAATCAAATTACCGTGATTTAAGAATAAAGAAGAAAACCTGTTGCATTTCCTCCACCCAAAAGCAAAAAGTTATTGAAGGCAGCGTCCGGCAAGTCTGGACACATGGGGATCTCACGTGGATAGCAATTTTGGAGCTTTAACTAAGCCATTGCCCAACCGGCAGCTCAGGTAGTGCTCTAATGGCTGAGATATTCCCTTTGAAACTGGACCCCGCGATCGTATTTCGCATGGATTCATGGCGCAAAGCGTGTGACCTGGCGCGAAACAGCCATGAATTCATGCGAATACGATCGCAGGGTACAGTTTCAAGATAATGTCTCTTTTCGTTCAATTTTTTGTTTTGAAGTCATCCTGGCTCATTAGTAGAACCTCAGTTTTTGCGTGCAGCCTTGGTTATGACCTTACAAATTATCCCTTTGCCCTTTTTCAATATATGAGGTCACAGACAATGATCCTCATACTATTTGTTGGGCTTCGTACAAGTGCACATGATAAACTTCTAATTTTAGCTAAGAGAAGTACAATATTCCTCAGAGATTCCGCTCATCAACGGCTAATTAGTTTACTTTGTCTGGCACAGAGGACAATAGGATAAAATCAATGTCCGTTCAAAAAACTATTGTTAGGTGTAGGGAGCGTAGCCATTTAGTTAAATTTCCAAAACTGCCTCCAGTATCTGCATTATATGCTGAGATGCATTTGAGAACTTAAAACTTACTAACAAACCAATTTTTTGAAATAATTTAAGTCATTTACAGTTTTCATTTCCTCTATCTACTTGTCAGCCTTGCAAATTCTATTAGAAGTCAAAGCATAAATCGCGAAATTATCGTCATTATGATAATCAGCATAATTCGCTCTTTTTCCTTTGTAGTATACGATCGTGGGCTCATGATTTTTACTTCCAGATAAAAAAGCATAGGTAGTGTTTTTGGAAATAAAAAAGCATAGGTAGTGCTTTTAGAAATTACTTTGTATCTATAAAGACTAATTCGAGTTTCTTCAAAGAATACCAGTTAACTATCTGTATCATTGCCAAATTCCTCTTCTACTAAAGAGCATCCTGCAAACTTTATTACTTGAATAGAAGTGGACTAATTTTCTGCCAAATTTTGAGAAGTGAGTGCTTTGCGATTTATCCGAATCCTAAAGCCCAAAAGATTGGCATTTGCTTTTACTTCTTAAAATTAGTTGCTGATCGAGTCTTGAGCCATTTTTTTTGCGCCGTCCGGCACGCAAGCTATTATTCGTAAAATAAATACTACTAATATAGTCTTTGGTCATTTTAGACATAGAACAGTCGTCAATTGCGAAGGTGGTAATTTGTTGTACGAATAATAGCTTGCGTGTGCGGACTACCAGTTTCAAATAGTAAATCGCACAAACAGGACTGAACCGTATGGGCTATCGTATAGATCATGACTATACAGTATAATTTTTTACTCTGAAAAATCTTGTTTGATATTTGCAACTTTAGTTTATAATACAAGTAAGATCGCAGAGGGTATTCCTCGATGAAAAAACCCAAATCGAGAAATATTTCGAGTGTATCTTGCAGGTAAATTAGAGCGTAAAGTGCATGGCACTGGAAGGGTATCCTACAGGATAATTGTCAGAATATTTCTATCTACACCTGCTCCTGAATAGCTCTTGCACTTTGCATCCAAATATTGTGACAATACGGGTGAACGCACCATTGGATAATTACCGTACAAAGTGGTTTCAAATTACAAATCCTTGGGTAATTTTTTGCCACTTTTGAAAAGAAATCATGGTGGAACATTTGGATGATCTGCAAGGAAAAACTGTTTGAGATCTGTAGCAACATCAAACGTACAGACAAGGTTTCTCAAAAAATTGTACTGCACAAATTAAAGTTCCGCACAGGTAGCTTTAAGCAAGCTGAATATCGTTTTTGGGACAAAAAGAAAGGAGTATCGTTTTTGTGGCCGAGAAAACATGACTTAGGTTACGCCATTTTTGGACGAGGTTTCTGTTTTTGAGGGTTTTTTACGTTTATGGTTTAGGGTCAAAGAGGAGTTAAAATTTAGGCAAAGCCAAAGCAGACTTCATTTTTTGAAAAGCCACCTCGTGCCAAGCCCTCACACAAATGCTGTATGTAAAAAAAATCTCGGAGTATAGTTTTGCGATAGCATCTTTTGATTTTGATCAATTTTCGATTTTTTTGAAATTTTAATTCGATTTCAATTTCAAAAAATTGATTTTTGACGACCTCGGCCCTCACACACATACTGTATGTATTAGGTTGTCAAGAAAATAATGTCCGTTTTTATTTGCATGCTTTAACAAAGCAAACAGATTCAACCCAACAAAGGGTAAGGCGTACTGTTCGATAGAGCAAAGCAAGCTCTACAAGATGGCACTCATGTCTTTGCGCCATGCTCGATCCACGGAGAGTTCGAACTCAAAATCTAAAGATTTCCAAATGCTCAAAAAATCGAATAAAAACCAGATCTTCGTCCAAATAATTTCTACGGACCTCCCACTCGCTCACATCAATACTATCGATATCTGATATCCATATGTGCGATTGCCATATTTTTTCCTTGATTAGAAACTGAGAAAACGAAAATTTCCCTGATTTTCTCAAAGCAATGCTGAGCCATTTTTGCATATGTAGTTTTTACTACAAGCCTAGGTAAGTATAGCTGTAGATTTTCAGCCCATTCCAAGCGGTAGTTTTCGAAAAATAACGAATACGGATTTTTTCGTTTCAGCTTCAGTGCTAAAATCGACATTTCTCGAAAAGTACCGCTCAAAATAGGCTGAAAACCTACAGTTATGCTTACCTAAGCTTGTAGTGTAGAACTACATATGCAAAAATGGCTCAGCATTGCTTTGAGAAAATCAGGGAAATTTTCGTTTTCTCAGTTTCTAATCAAGGAAAAAATATGGCAATCGCACATATGGATATCAGATATTGATAGTAATGATGTGAGCGAGTGGGAGGTCCGTAGAAATTATTTGGACGAAGATCTGATTTTTTTCGATTTTTTGGGCATTTGAAAATCTTTAGATTTTGAGTTCGAACTCTCCGTGGATCGAGCATGGCGCAAAGACATGAGTGCCATCTTGTAGAGCTTGCTTTGCTTTATCGAACAGTACCCCTTACCCTTTGTTGGGTTGAGTCTGTTTGCTTTGTTAAAGCAAGCAAATAAAAACGGACATTATTTTCTTGACAACCTAATAAAAAAATCTCGAAGTATAATTTTGCGATAACAACCTCAGCTTCATTTAGTTGGCTCCATAGGTGTAGCAAAAATCCTCAGAAATTTCTCAAATGAAGAGGCTTCCAGAGAATACTTAAATCTTAGATGATAGAGGTTGTGATGGACGTTGTGATTGGTTTTATTCTACTTGTTACTGACTGTTTTCAAAAGAATTATGTAGTCGAACAAAATCTGAATAACGATTTCTCGAAGCATCAAAACGTTTTTTTCAATGCTAGAACGCATAAATCGTAAAACCATTGCCTAAATTAGATTAGGTGCCAAATAATTTTAGTAGTTTTTAAACGTAGTTGAAAAAAAAAAGATGCGATTCCTGTTTCTCTCTTCACTTAGATCGCGCAACAGCCAACGTTAATTGTGCATCAAAAATTCCTCAAAGCACATATTCTATAGTCATATTCATCTAAGCGGCCTAGCTGAAAGGTGATATTATGCGCTTTTGGAAATTTTGGTGTATTTATGTGCCAAAGTGATGTTATTGTGCTAGTGGAGATTTCTTCTCAAAGGTTTTTCCGATACATACCAACAAAAAAGCACCAAATACGTGCTATCGATGAATGTTTGTTTTGGTACACAAGCGGTATAAGCACTATTAACTTTCTACAACGTACATAGTAATAAAGTAATTGTTCGTAGGAAACCAGTCTCTTGCACACGGCCTTATCTTGTTCGCTGCCAAAGTCAATGACAAGCACGAGGCGGGACTGTACGACCTTGTCTGGGAGAGAAAACATTTTTACTTTGCTCCACGTTGTGGGCCTGAAGAAATAGAAAGGTCCCGTCCGTAACAAGAGTTGTGCTGTTCGGAATTTCCGTTTCGATCCTAGACACTAGAGGAATTCAGAATAAAATGGGAACGGTCTTCACTGGATCTCATCGTGTTTGATGGCTGTATGACTTGTAAACATAGAAAGAAATAAGAAGGCTAGCCTAAGCTTTCTTGGTAGTCGTGCGGGTGCTTAGTTGCAGAAAATTTCTTCTCAAACCTTGGTAAGTATGAGTCATTATGATCAACAATATGAACTACAAGCTCCAGTTTCATTTCAATGTTGTTCTCTTGTTTTTTTTCATTCATTCTTCCAAATACGGCTCATTTTATTCAATTTAACTTTTGCAATGACAAGGGCTGAATTCATATTTTATGTGTATTATGAACTTCCTAGTTTATAAAACGAAAAAAATGACTGAATAGACTGTTCTAATCGGCATTATGGACCGATACACTGATATGAAACCGGAATCATTGGCATCTTGCCAGTGAAAATGAGACATGAAACGCTAGCGATTCGATTACAAACCATGTATTTTTACACTGTTTCCGAATGGGGTAGACTTTGATTAGATTTCTCTTCAAACTACAGTAACCACAAGCCATGCGAGATCATCTCCACTTCTTTCAGGGATGGATGCGGCACAACAAAAGCCTGTCTTTTCAAACCAGCCGGTTGTGATCCAAACCTCGACTGCACGATTGGCCTGATCTTCTTTGTAGTGGGGGAAAACCAACTACGAGTGGAAATGGTGGCCACCTCGCTGATACCATCCGTACAGCAACAGTACATTGCTATAGGATTTTCGAATGATCCAATGATGGTAAGGACGTTTTGCAAATGATCGATGCGTGTGCAATGACTTCTAAGAATCTCGTGTCTGGTAGTGGGAGATAGTTTACGCGCTTTTATGAGCGCAGTCTTCTGACTAACATTTGACAGCAAAACAGGCATAACAAAGTCTATGATCTAACCAGTTTCTTGCGACAAAAACGAGATGGGGATAAAGCCTAGCTGGTACAATAAATAATTACCCTGACCAATGACTTTTGCGGCATACTAGTTAGGGTGTTTCTTGAGACTTCTTTCAGTGGATAACAGTTTTGTATTATTGAAAGTGAGCAAATAATATGTTGGAGCGATTTAATGTGGATCACGATACATGTGGTGTAATGGTCATCTTGTAGAGCTTGCTTTACCTTATCGGACAACGCAGTTTTCTTGCATTTTTTATTACCCTCCCTCATTAGCAAGATAAGGGACAGTCTTTCCTTTCCAACTTATTACATTGTTTACTCACTCTCCATAATTGAAACGGCGAAGGCGGAGAGGGGCTAGAGGAAAAAAAAGGTTAACGATATTTTCGGAGGGCTAATTTTTATGAATAAACAAAGAGTAATGCGTCGTGCGGGGTTCTTACAGTGACTTGCGGGCGCCAGCCGATTACCAAGTCAGATTTATCCTCCTTTGGTATCAATTTACCGGCCCCGGAGGGTAGAGGGCTTAGTTGGCCCCGGGGGCGGGGATCGAACCTGGGTCCGACTGGTCATAGCGGCGCCTCGTACCACTACGCTACTGGCTCCCTGAATAAACAAGACATAGAAAGGCAGGTGGTTTTGTATACTACATACTACTCTACTATGTACTTTCGCACCAATGTATACATTTGAATAATTAATTTAGCTCGGCAACGTAATAAAGAATCAGAGAAAACATGCATAATAGCAAATTATCTGATTTTTGACTTTAGATAATTTTCAAAGTAACAACTGGAATTACAATGCAATTTGTTACTTTACAATTACTGGAATGCTTTTGCTGCTGCATGTTCCCTTACATCTCCCAAAAGATTTTCCACTTGCATGGTCCATTCTTTCTAGGGAGAAGATTTCGTGACCGAATGCGTGATGAGTGATATGGGACAGTTTGCGGGCTGGGAACCTGAGATCTTCGTCTCATTCAATCACGGAAACTCCAACGATCGCATATTCTTGAACGATGTGAGTGATTTTTTATGGCTGTTGTTTTTTCTTTCGAAGGGGGGGGGGAGGGGAACAAGCAGAACGAGAAAAAGCATTTTTTTAACAGCAAAGCTACTTTAGAAGAACTTGTGGAAGCCAAACTCTTGGTAAGAATATAACATATCAACCCTTGCGTCAAAACGGAAACAAGTAGAAATTTTTATAAGCACGCTTAGTTTCAAGACTTCACAAAATCAAAAAAACTTTTCTAGGATGAACATCGCACAATGATAACAAACATCTCATCACAAGTTGTGGATGGTCGCCTAGTATGTCATTTTACTCAGCAACTAATCCCACAAATCGACCGTAAAAATGGTCTTGTATGGAGCTTGGATAAAGAATACTATATTTTGGGAGCTACTGGATCTGCACAACCGGATGGTGCGTTTACACCACAAAAATACTGCTCTCCTTTCCGTCTTTTTTTCTCGTTTGTAAGTTTTGTTCTTTATTCAGAGGTTAATGCTCATGACATGAATCGAGGCTCACACTTCTTCCCAATCGTTTCTTCTGCGAAAATCAATCCATCTCAGTTGAGTCTGGTCAAGGTGAAGTTATATTTTTGGAAGAATAGTTGAGGTTTTTTTTCATATTTTTTCCGTTAGTCTTGGCGCATGATTTTGGAAAGGTTGCGATTCCTTACCGTTTTTCATTGATTTTTTTCTGCTTTTTAACTAGTCTCTTTCATATTTGTGGTGAGGTTTTTGAATTCTCAAAGTTCTTATTCCAGTACGATACGCCTCTGAGCACCAATGTGATTTCGAAGGAAAAAGTCTCGATCAACCAAGAAACCCCAGAATCCATGAAGCCTGATGTAGATGTCGTATCTCCAACAACTGCAGCTATGACCACAACGGTCTCACAAACGGAAAACTCGTCCACTTTGAAGATATTCCCTTTTCCAGCAGTACTTCTTTTATTGCTTCGACTATTGTAATGTGCTACGTTCTAGTGTGTTTATGTAATACCTTTCTATGTTTGTTCTTCTCATGTTGTGCGTACAAATAATCGGTGATCAATTGCGTCAAATTTTTTGAATCTTTCCTTCTAGAACTTCTGCTTTTTTCGTTGATGATCGTAATTATAACGGGTGAAATGTGTACATAAATATGTTTCTTATGCATCATAAACTCTTACTATCGGATTTCATGAATTCAAAAAAGAAAGTACAGAATGAGACTGCTGACATATATATATTTTCTTTATTTTAGCGAATACCGTCAGTAATCAAATATCTTTTCATTAATAAAGCAAAATAAGAATAGCTCAGATTTGAAATCTTTGTTCGTACACACGGATCAATGATTATAGGGCTGAATAATTATACGTTGTCCCAAAAAATGTATCGAACGTTTGATCTTCAATAACTTCTTCATATGGAAAGCTTTCGCGGATCTTTGGGTGCCATACGGTAGGGCTAGCTTCAACTTAGATTTACAGTACAGAGCGAATTACCGATTCCTCTTAGCTACTGTAGGATTACGGTAAAAATTTTCGACTAATTTTAGGCCTTTGAGAGACGAGAATTGCTTTTGAAAGATTCCAAAAAAAGACTTCAATCTAAGGTTTTCGGGGATGCTAAATTTAATTACAAAGCTTTCCACTACCGTACTCCTCGGCTTCTTAAGGTATGCGCACTGTAACGCTGATTTAGCGTTTTTTCTAAAATTTTCTAAACCACGTTGCAGTCACAAACACGTCGAAATCAATCAATCAAATCATTGGAATTAAATGAAATCATTAGTTGTGTTTGAACGCGGAATTGTTGATTTTTGCACTCATTATTTGCAATTAATAAAGACTGAAGAAGTCTTAAAGGTTCAACTGAACTTTGCTTGACAAAGGCAACGTTAAATTCTAGAAAAAAAGCCAAAAATTCAGCTTACGGTGCACTTACCGTAGGAAGCCGAGGAGTACGGTAGCGGGAATACATGTATTTAGATTAAGCATCTCCGAAAACATTAAGTCTGACGCTTTTCGTTTTTTTTTAAATTCTTTAGAAGCATTTCTCGTCCGTCTAGAAGCCTAAAATTAGTCGAAATCCCACCGTAATCCTACAGTGAATGAGAAATCGGTGATTTCTTTATATTCTTGATATAATTTGAAGCTAGCCCTACGGTATAGCTCCCAAAGATCCGCGAAAGCTTTTTATATAAGGAGGGTTATCAAAGATCAAACGTTCGATGGATACATTTTTTGGGACCTCTATGTTTCAATTCTATGATCGCTATTGTGCTGATTCATATTCCTTAAATTTATAATAGAACGAGTTTCATTTCAGTATTTATAGAGATAAAAATAGTGTCATTCTTCGTTATATTTGTGTTGATGCTATTTACAATTAGAGACTAATGTAATAAGGGCTGCACTTTGTAATTGGGGTGTGATCTATTTGAAAGGATACGTATGATCATGAAAATAATTTTCAACGCTAAGGAAGTTGATGATAAAGTTGAAAAAACTATCTTGTTTAACCCATTGACGACGATGTGGACCGCCGGTGACCCACGCACTTTTTGCTGCCAGGGACGATGTGGGCCACCGGTGGCCCACCCCCCCCCCCTTGCAAAATCATATTCCTTCCAGGTCTAATATTTTTTTCACAGCTTAGTATTTCCAATTTTTTGCACTCCTAGAACCTGTAATCTGCCGTCCAAAAAAATGACTGTAGTTGTATACAAAACAACTCTACATTTCGTGAATGATCAAAAAATTGCCGCGCCGAAAGTGTAGTGCAAAATGGCGTCGTCCCAAAGCGCCGCCACACAAAATTAGGCGTCGTCATCAATGGATTAATAATTACGAGATGTATGAAGTGTCTGCACAGTTTTTATATGAAATTTCCTCTCCTCCAGTGCCGGCAAGAGCGCGCTCTACTCAAAAATGACGAATCCCAATCAAAAAAAAGTTCTTTACAGGCTTTGTGCAAGTTAACAGGACATTATCCTTGAGCCATACGTAACTTAATGTGTGAATCTGCACACCATGCGCGGCAATAGACGACAATCTTACTAGTAACACCTTGGTAAGACATTTTCTAGAGTTAACAAATTTAGAAAAGTTGCTTCTAATTAGTACATATATGAAATCAAGGAGCGGATTCCAGTTTTACATGTCGTTCAGTAGCACGCATGGTGTGCAGTACACACCATGCTCATACTGAGATTACGAATGACTAACAAAATCTTCTTTGCGAGAAATATTTTTCCGAACTCTCGTCCTTTGTCGTATCTTTTGTGGGCGAACATTTGACGGTTACGGTACTGGGCAAGAGTTTAGAGTTGTTTCCTCTGCAACCTGTACATCATGATCTTATTTTCGTTAGCATTTTCTTCAAAATTACAAAACAGGTCCTTATCTTTCGCTGATGCGCAAGTTAAGTTTCACAATAGTTTTGTGCTTGACGTAGGAAAAAACATGTTGGTGATGAGGAGTAAACTCGTCCGACATTGGTGGTTCATAACACTTCTCATTGCTAATACGATAATTGCATTTACTTACATTCTTTGTTCATCAACATTCTCGTGTCCAGAAATTTAACTTCCTTTTGGGGAGTGCGGAGAAAAATCCGCCATAAATCGATAAATCAATAGTTTATTATGGCTGCATATACATACACGAAGTGATAATGTCAAAATAAGGTCTCTACTAGAACTAGATTTGTATTTGCACAAATGTGAATGTGTAAATTTCGTTGGTCGCGCTCAATTTTAGGCAATTGAAATGGCAATGGTGTCACGATATATCAGTTGATCAATAAATCAATAAAACAATAACTGCACTATGTGGCTAGTGTTTATGTGAGAGGAAAGCACTTTTGTTCAGTTTAGCTACTATGTGGCGAGAATGATGATCTTAAGCTTGTGATCGCTCTGTAATGTCCATGTTCATCGCATCCATGTTATTATTCTCCTCGACGGACTTATCCAATTGAATTCGGCCTTCGTCATCGAGAAGTTTGAAGTGGACATGACAGTATAATTGACCATCTTTAGCGCGATGAACACGCTCCACCCTGAAAGTAAGTACTAAAGTTCAAGCCCAAATATTCAGTTGTTTTTAGCAAAAAGTTACGCCTTCGAAACTCCGCCTACATTGGCTGACCCCGCCTTACTCAACGGTAACTCGAAAGCGCGAAAAAAAAACGATAAATTTAGCACAAAGAATAGTAATTACGCTGGAGGCCCTAGCCTTGTTCCCCTCCCCTCCCTTCGAAAATGAGTAAATTTTTAAAGACCTGGATAAAATCATCAAATTACAAGTTATCTGTTTTTGATAACAAATATTTAAAAAGATACTCAAAGTTCCGTAAAAATTCAAGTTGAAATTGTAAAAACCTTGTTAGAAGGCAACCTTTTAAGAGGATAAAGCTCGAAAGGATAGTGTTATTGTTACACACAAAAGGGCAATGCAAAGCCCCTCTGCTGCGAGTTCGCGCTGTTTTTGAGTCGCCGAGAGATAAAGTGGTCGGAAGATAAGCAGACGCTCTAACCGCGTCGCCGCAACAGACGCACTCTCTGCGTCGGTGATCTGACTATATACGGTCTGATAGAGATATGGGAGAGAAGACCGAAAGGTAAGATTTTTTTGTTCTGTTGTAAGTCACAATTGGAGGTTTTTGAGCTTTTGAATCTTAGCTCGAAGTTTTTTTATTGATTGACTAGATGGTGAAATAGTTTTCCACTTCTCAATTTTCCTTTCCAACTGCAGATCCGTTGACAATTAGCAAGTATTCCCGTTACAACAGATTTTCATAACATTGTTGAAGGAAACTCACCGCAATGCTTGCCGGCATACGGTACATCGAAAGCAATTCACATGATACTGTACACCAAAGCATCCAAATTGTTCGGCTCGATATACGGTCGTTTGGCATAAGGCACATTTCGGCTGTGGACGCATAACGAAACGCTAAAACAAACAACACACTCGAACCATGCAACGTTAGACGCACTTCACACAAAATCACACTCCATATAGTTTGCAGTCAGTCGATTATTGATTAGATTGGTGTTGGTTTGACTATTTTGAGTGTGGTCGATGGAAAATAGCAGAGAAACAGAAAGAAGTATAAGTATCTATGAGAACAATTTACATTAGATAGAAAACTATCAGTTATACTCCCATGCTTCTGAAAGACCACAGTACCAAATTGCCGGTCAATTATTGATTGAATCTCCATAAAAGTCCACATGATGATTGAACCTGTATGCAGAAATGGGAAAAGTATATTCCAGTGGCTATGAACCTTATTAATCGCTCATCTAGAAAGATTGTGAGGTATTATTTAATTTAAGAACGGCACTTTTGCACTGTTACAGTATGCTACCGTATGCCTCGAAAGCATATATAGGTGGACGCTTACATATTCGCAGTGCGGTTCCCACGTATAAAGCGCTTTCTTTATAATCATTCACAGAGAGACGCAAAGATTAGCACTGCCTCTCAACAACTGCGTGGTGTACGGTAACATACGGTATCTATGTGCAAAAGTACCGCTCACCGTCCAATGAGCATGACCTATATGTAGAGGTTTGAGTAAGTGGTATCAATGAACAATTAAGTATGATCAATTGTGAAGGAAAATATAGGCAAGAGATTGTCTAAAAATAATCATCGGAAGACGGCACTTTTGCACCGCTACAGTATACTACCGTACATTTTTTCTAGTGGCTCGAAGCATAATAATTGCAGCTGGAACATCATATGCAAGACATTTTCTCCATGATTCATAAAAGCTTGTAGACTTCGCGCGTTTGAAAGCAGGGTGACTACGGTAGCATACAGTATATATGTGCAAAAGTGCCGAAACCACAACTACGATTTGTAGCCGTAGCAATCGATTATCTATCGCCACTAGTATCACTGACGTTGTTTTCCACTCGTTAGTAATCTCAAAACACTCCGATTAGTAAGGTTATTCACGCTCCACCGCACACTCTTTAAATCGAATGTGTACAGCGAATCACGTTGATAACCCTTTATCAAAAAAACAATCAATAAAATAGCAGCATGAAACGCTTGAGCATGGTGGCAAATCTTCTACATACAGAAAAAAGAGACATTTGGAACACATGTAGGAAAGGATTGTCACGACTTTCGAGGACTAGACAGAAATTTTTTCCAAAAAATAGAAAATTGTGATGGTTAATTAGAGAGCCGTGACTTACACGAACAACAGTGAGCGTAAGAATTAAAATTTTCAACACGGGTACTTAAATTTTTTTATGTTTTATTTTTTGCGAAGTGGAAGAAGTCAGGAGGAGGATGCGATGTGCACTCGCTCAGCGCTCTCATTGGTCCTGTAACGAAATTCACAATCGAATCATGTGTATTCAAAGGTATAAACTACTCTACTAACTAACTACATATCTAGACTTGCCACCCTGAGATTAAAGCTCTTGAAAGCCAGGGATTGAAAGCTCGAGTAATGATTAGGAAATGGCAGTGATTGAAAGGCAGGAGTTAGCTCTAATTCGGGGATGTAAGCTATGAAAGAGATAGGGATTAGTTCGAAACTATCTGAGGAGACTTAGCGACGAATCAAAAATGCTATTTGTTGCCAGTACTGTAGTCCTACGCAAATCGCGACTAAGCCAAAGCATACCGTAGCAGCCAGCTGAAAAATGCAACCAATAAGAAATGTCAAGTTTGCGTTGAAGCTAACAAGATATTACGTCTTATCTTTTTGATTTCGTAAAATAGCAAATGACAGTGTACTTATACAGAAATAAGCAGCAGGTCGATGAGTGTTTAGTGGTTCAAAAAAGTTTAACGACAATGCGCTTGCATTTTTGTGCAGAAAATCGGTATATTGACTCAAATACAGGGTGTCCCAAAAAGATGTGCACACTGTTTGATTGTAAATAACTCTTTTGTGGTGAAGTGTTTCGAGAAGCTTTAGGTACCATTTTGTAGAGCGAGGTTCAACTTAGATTTACAGTGTAGAGCAAATCGCCGATCTCTCATTCTTACTGTAGGATTACGGTAGAAACTTTGAAGAGAGTTTTGAGCCATGAAAGGCCATATTTTGTTCAAAAAGAAACCAAAACAACCCTGAAAACTCTCACACTGGGCTAACTAGAGTTGCTGATTCTGAATGTGAAGTTCGCAACTCTTCCTAATGCTTCATTTAAAAATTATGCGAGGTAAGCAGTAGCAGACGTTTTTTAAGTGTTCCTAAAAAGTGCGGTTACACCGTCTAGAAAGCTTCTCAACCTTGTAAAGAGTTGGGTATTAAATTCAGGGTCCATAAAAACCCTATTACACAAATTTCCACATTTTTTTGAAAAATTTTGAAACGGCCCCTTTTTTCACAGTGACACCATATGTTTGAAGTTTCTACCGTACTCCTACAGTAAGAATGAATGACCGGCGATTCGCTCTACACTGTAAATCTAAGTTGAACCTCGCTCTACAAAATGATACTTAAAGCTTCTCGAAACACTTCACTACAAGAGAGTTATTTGCAATCAAACAGTGTGCACATCTTTTTGGGACACCCTGTATGATAGAAAAGAATGATTTTATGCTAGATAAGATGATAATCAACCTTAGGCGATCAAAGACTGATTTCGCGAATCTGTCCTAGAATCTCGTATACCATCCTATTTAGCAGGTAGAATTGGCCACGTCTTGCTCCATCTATTCTATAAAGCTTTCAATGTGAGTATCATGGTCGGAGCGGCTCGGGTTCTCGCAAACCGCTTCGCTTGGGTCTCCTGCCGTCTTCGCTAATGACACTTCAATTGACAGCCCCTGTACCAGCCTATCCTGATACGTGCGACTGCGAGTGATACAATGTAGGGCGCATTTCTTTCGATCAGATGCTTTTCCAGCCTCCTTGTTGGTTTTTATCCCTTACGCGCATAGAGAGATGCATACGGTAACAGTTTCCCCATTTATGCAAAACGGTCAACAAAATTCAGGTCAGCCATGTATGCAGTATATGTAGCTGCAGATCTCTCACTCAATCAATCGATATATCGATTAGCTTGCTCATAGATGCGATAGGTGGAGAAATTTCTCTGACCCCCTTCACTTTAGGGCCGGCATCTGGCTGACCCCTTTCACCTGAGGTTGAGACTAATCAAGGCAAACAGCTATTACAACGGAACTTTTGTTTGGAAAGGAAACGCCAGCTGCTCTTCTCCTCAGACATCAAGACTGCAAGAGAGTATCGAATCAACAACGTTTCGTAAAAAAACGCATGCTTGAGACCTTCTGCGCGCTCAAAGGGCGTTGATAACAAAACGTAATCAAAAAGTAAAAGGTGATTTTTTGAATAATTAACATTGTATCAATGAATACATACTTTGCAAAAAAGAATTGAGCAAGAGTAAAAAAATCTGAACCGACTAGCGATGGATGCATGTTTACTGACAAAAAATCATACCATATCTCTTTTCACTAGAGAGAATGATAACAAACAAAACAACAGTCAAATTACTCGTTTTTCATGCTTTCGATTCATATATAAAAGTTCGAAAAAGACCATCTTGGTTGGATTTATAATTGCCCAAAATTGGCTTATATTGTAGCAGATAAAACTGCTCGTATCTCGCTTCACAGAGAAGCTACGAAAAAAGAGACGGTCTACGTCGATTCCTCGCGTTCTTAGCTATCGCATGGTATATAAGGTGTTGGTGCACAAAGCTTTCCCAGTCCAAAAAAGTCTTGCTCCGGCAACCCATAGAAAGCCGGAGCGGGGTGGAGCAAGTTACTATTGAATATCTCCACCTCATTTTTAAGAAACCACAAGTTTTTTCACCCAACAACCTGCACATCATTAGAAAGCCCACAAAAAAAGGATTCGACGTAGACCGTCTCTTTTTCTCTAGCTCGCCTCTACTCAGAGTTACATGGGATTTTAGCCAAAAACATGCGTGTTTTTGTCGAGAAATTTCTGCGTGAAGAATGGATAAAGGTGCCTGATTTTCTAACTGCATCACGGAGCAAGACCTTGCCAGTAAACGTAGACCGTCTCTTTTTTTTAATCTTTGTTCTTTCTTTCAAAAATAAATTACAAAATAATTACACAAAATTAGCTGGTGAGTAGGCGTATAAAATCGCTCGTATCTCGCTCTACAGAGAAGCTATGAAAAAAGAGACGGTCTATGTCGATTCTCCATAATCTCAGTTTTCGAACGGTGTGAAGCATGTTAGGGCTTTTCTGCTTCCCGGCTCTAAAAAGCACTTGCTCTGGTGACCGATAAAAGCCAATACATTGGGGGAGCTGGGTGGAGCAAGCTAATAGTAAATACCTCCACACCATTTTTAAAAACTAGCAAGTTTTTTCGTTTAGCAGTCTATATACCATTTGAAAGCTCAGGAAAAGGGGACTCGACGTAGACCGTCGAATTCTTTCTAGCCGCCCTTTATCGAGAGATACACTGCATTTTACCTGAAATCATGTTCATTTTCAACAGCAAATTCTGCCAAACGAAGACCTAATCTGCTGGTTATCTATTTGCGTTACAGAGCAAGTCTTCATTAGCAGATGTAGACCGTCGACATTCTCGTAGCATTCTTTTGGAGAGCAGAAAGTGAGGACACAAAATTAGTTGACACATGAAGTACATAAAATCCCTCATATCGGAACAAAAGACCTAGGAAAAGCCGACGGTCTATGTCGATTCTATATGACCTCAGTTTTCGAATAGTATGTAACTTGTTGAGGCATTTTGCTCTCAGGGCTCACTTACCCCCTTCACCTTACAAGGATTGGAGTAGCAGAGACCCCCTTCACCTGGAGAGGGCCCGGCTCCCCCTATCGCACCTATGAGCTTGCTTGCAGATATGACTAAAAAACGTATCTCAATCATTTCATTTTTGCAGTCACTTCTTAAAAATGGCTGCTATCAATATCGGCTTCTTTATAAATTCGGTTTACCATAACAATCACATTTCTACATATACTGATCGATATATCGATCAACACACCTGGATAAAGTATAAGAAAAAGATCATTCTGGAAAGGGAGAAGTTCGCATATGTTTCTCTACATTCTGCGCTATATCATTTCCATTGCTAAATAGGAAGTAGTCACCACCTTATAGAAGTAGTTGAAGTCGATGAATTCACATTTGCTGAATTGTGACGAATGACACGATTACGGTAGTCAGAATTTTGCAGAACAAATAATCAGTCGTTTTTTACTTTGACGAGAATCATTATTAAAACAGTATTCTAGCCTTTTCATGTCGTTCAGTACTAAGCACTTTGTCTAAATTCACTAGATGCGTAAATTAATGCTTACCGCAGTAGTCTTCTTCTCTGGCATTCGGCTCTTCTCAGCCTTTTTGGCCTCTTTCGCTTGGAGTTTCTCCCATTTTGCGGCCATCTTTGAGGCATGATCGGCCTAAATCAAATAAATGTCATAGTAGATTTATATGCTTTGAAAAACATATTAAGAAGCTAGAAGAAAAGATAAGGGTAGGTGAGATTATGATAAGTGGGGTCTCAAGGAGATCGTGATTTTCATCTTTACCTTGATGGCTACATCTTCTTTTTCAATTTCATGCTGTTGTTGTAGCTCCAAAGCACGCTCCTCTTCGAGTCTCTTCTGTGCTTCTTCGCGTTCCCCTAAAGTTTCGCAATAATCTCGATTTTCAGATAATTTTCCACGAATTACTCTTAAGCCGCTCGAATTCTTCTTGCATTTGCCGTCGCTTCTCTTCGGCCATATCCGCGTCGTCATCGATACCCTGTTCAAATCGTTGTTTGATGTTGCTGGCTTGCTTGGCTGCTTGAGACTTGATTGCTTCCAGTTCAGCACGTTGTTCTCTAGAACAAACAAAAGTTATATATAGTAAATTATCAATCACTCCTGGAAAGAATACACGCAAAAACTTACATTCATCAATGAAAGCAATGACAATAGCAGTCTTTAACTTTTTTCACGCAAAAAATAATTTGTATGGAAGCTTTTTTAGAATAAGTGTGGAGACATTTCCATGCTTTTTTAATTATAATCTGGAGTCCGTAAAAATTATAGACCGAGAAATTTAACTTTACTTTCGACCCAGACCGCAATCTTTATCAATGAGCCAATTAATGTCTTTGACAGGAGAAAGTACACGCGAACCAGAGCTTATTTTTATTCATGAAAAATTTGTGGAATGATGATAAGTATGAAGTAAAGACAAACTCACTCGCTGATCGCTGAGGTGGCTGAGGTTTCACCAATGTGCTTGAACTTATTCATCAAGTTCTTTACATCAAATGCATCTTCATCTTCAGGCTCATCGTCTGAAAATTGGGATTAACATAGTAAAAATAGATGTATATTGTAGTCTAGATAGTCAGTGATTTTTTGATTTCGACTCTTCCACGATCGCCGCGCATCCTTTTAAACAAACCTTTTTTTGAAAGAAAAGTGTATTCATGCGAACTCAAATTCATTTCAAAAAACCTGTCAATAAGCTTATAATTCTTTGCATATCTATAAAGAATATTTGATCATATCAGCGGAAATGCTTTGCCCTTAGGCAATTTTCGTAACACCTTTCGTAAGCGAGAAGGAATTTTTCATGCGAAGAGGACATTCCGAGAATTTTTTGAAGTCATATTGTTCTGCAAACTAATCGGCTACATCTTTGAGTTCTGTCAAATCTTGATCTTGCGGTTAAACCATGATTGGGCAAACAATTCCCCAAGAAAATTTCACGCGATATTTTTTGCCACGAATAGTACTTTCAAACGCATATAAAGTAGGTAGGCAATGTAGAATTTCGCATTATTACACACATAGCAATTTCGCAAAAAACGACTATTGCGTAAAGTCCAGCAATCTAAAGATATAGCCAACCACTCAACTTTAGAACTCATGAAAAAGGATATGTCGTAACTCACAGTCTTCGACGACTCTCCTATTGATTACTTCAGCGACGGGACCCTCCTTCTTGTCCCATTTACTTGGTTCGTGCTGAAAAAAATCACACTGACATGCTAACAACGTCAAAAAAATAATGGAAATTAGAGAAGACAATTAGTGAGATGTTTTTGATGTTTGGCTTACCTTCTTCACATTTGGAACCACTGGCGTAGCACCAGAAGCGTCAATCTGCATGAATTTTTCTCGTGCCTTGCCGGCCATTTTGATCTCAACGTCCAATTCTTTTCCTGCAAGAAATGCAGCCGTAAATTTGCCAATTTCCCAAATGCACTACAGCATCTGCACCGACCATCTGCGCCTTGGCTCTTGAATGCTTCTCCTTTGTCAAAGCGATCCTTGATGGATCCGACATCGGCAGCGCCTTCACCGGGCACAATACCTTGTTCTGCCTAGAAAAAAGCCTATTATACATAATCGTCCTTCAAGAGGGACTAGTGGCCATTACCTCCTTCTTGGCCCGTTCAGCAGCGGCTCGTCTAGCCAGCTTGTATCGTTGGAACTCTGCCTCAATTTCTTTTTTCTTGAGGGCAGCGCGCTCTTCTGGTGACATCTCTTCCTCGCCCTGAAGGAAAAAAGATTATTGGAGAAATGTAAAAAACGTATGTGTGATAGAGTATTGGAGAAATGTAAAAAATGTATGTGAGATAGAGCGAGATAGGAAAATAATTACTGGATTTTGAGGAAACGAGATAAATTTGTTTGCATGATTTTTCGACTCCGGCGAAATGCAAAAAATAAGATAGAAGGTATATGCAGATTCCACTACTAGAACCTCAAAATCTTTAATTTTGTGAGAAAAGAAGATATAGACAGATTTTACTACTAAAACTTTAACACTTTTATTTTGTTAGAAAACGTTTTCCAAATAGAGGTGAAAAGTTAATGAATAAACCTCTTCGAACGTAAACGTTTTCATGAAGAAGGATATTATCTTGTTGAATATCAACTCAAAAACCAGCATTGAAAAATGCCAATAAAGTATTAGTGGTAAAATTGCGCTAAATACAGCATGGAAAACATGATGGTGCCCCTAATATGGTGACGACAACATTTGCGCGTGACAAACGCCACGCTTGCAACTTGCGCGTGAAAAATATCATCATGAAACGCATATTGCATTTTTACGCGCAAATGTTGTAAGCGACTATAATAACGGACAGATCTGCTAATTTTAAGCTATATCACCGACTTATAATTTATGAAGTTTGAAACAAATGTCAAAGTGAAGCAGAGAGAAACGCTTGTGCATGAAAGCTTGTTAGAAACTATTCCGAACATTCAACCCGAACAGCTGGTCGTCAGATGTGAGGCCCGAGCGGGGGAGGAAGAGAATGACGCAGAAAACAGAGAGAAAAACAAAGGGAATAAATCGCTCGGGCAAGATGTGAGCGGCCATTTTGCGAAGCACTAGTAGCTATGGATAGCGAAGAAGTGCATAGTAAAGCACATATAGTCTTCGAAGAAGTGAGAAGCACCTGTTCAAAAGCGGCCTTAATGCCTTCGAGATGCAGATCACCAAGGTCGACTTCGGTCTTTTGTATGTCCGCTTCACCTTCACCTTTTTCGAATCGTTCCTTGAAGTTTTGCAGCTCTGTAAATAAACAGTTTTACAAGCTATAAACACTTTCCAGTGCCGATTTTATATACAACAATAGTTGCCTAAATTCTCTTTGTTACACAACAGTTTACGACTCCACCATGCTAGCAGGGCGCTATCAAATTTGGTTACAAGCCTTGCATCAAAATTTATAGGAATATATAATGTCCAATTTTTCCATAGTTTTTGTTATATAAATTGAGTGGCTTCTCATGATTAATACAGTTTTCATAAACATATTCTGAAGCAAAATGATATGAAAATTACTTTTATTTATAGAGATATCCGAAAAGTCCGAAAAGAGTCACTCCGATTAGGAAGAGTAAATCATTGAGCAAAACCAAATGCAAATGAATTTTCAATATCTTTTCAAATTTTTGACAATCGAACCTTTGAAAAACACAGTTTGGGTGTGTTTGTTTTTAACAGCTCGAGAATAGAAGTGTACAAATATGGATCAAATGTTAGATCCCCTCAACATTTTCTCTCCTGGTTTTTTTCTGGTGCACCATCACAAAAATTTCATGATCAAGGGCATTTCATGACCCCTCTACCTAAGATTAACAAACAAGACCGTCCTGGTCAATGTTTTCTTTCTGTGAAATGGAACTTTTACCCAAGCGAAAAAAAATAGAATTAATCGCTTTTGAATCAGGTCAGCTCAAAAGATCTCGCTTGAGTGTATTAGCATAAAAATGACTATTTTACATAATGCCAATATTGTGATTAACTACTTTATTAATAAATTCTTTTTCATCCTATCTTCCACAGCTTTGGCAAATAATTTGTCATTCTGCCATCAAAAAATACTCTCCGATTCTCAATTTTCACTGCTCACACTCTTGCTAAAATTCCTTGGCCTTTCTTTTAGTCAGGAACATAATGGAAGAAAGCACTTTCAATTTTGCAGATAGGATACAAAAGAGAAAAGAAAATAATATCAGAAAATGATTACGTTATTAGTCTACCGAGGTGAGAGAATAGGTATAAAGAAAAAAAGGATGAGTGCAAAATGGCAAAGCTAAATCAACGACAAATTGGACTTTTGTTACGAAAAATCTGAACTCAAGAAAAGCTTTTCCTGGATTTGCACCTTTCATTCACAATCCCAGTTTAGCTGCATTTTATCAGCTAGTGCAGTAGCACTTCCATTTTTCAACCAATCCAATTCCCCCTATACGAACACTGTCAATTTTTACAACCCCGTAATATCTGATTGTTTACCTCTGCTAATACCTAGTGGGACACCCTACAAAAACTGCAATTGTTGACAGCATTGGCGAGAAACGAGCTAATCCCCGTATCGCATCGCTTACAAGTCGTTTCGAGCTGTCACCGCGATTTCGCGGCGCGAAGGCGATCATTAGCGGGGCGCAGCTGCTTCTGGCGTGTCAGCGCGCCGGCTACGATTGCGCTTTTTACGGAACGCTCGTCGGGTGATTAATCGCTTACATGTGTTTCGCAGAAAGTGCAGATAAAGCAATAGATCTTCTTAAAGACGCAAAAAACAGCAGAAGCTGTAAATGAGCGGGTTTGCTGGCAATGATTAAATCACATGTGGGAAGCAAAAGGAAAAACTTCACTATTTTTATACTTTTTTCCAATACGTATCTGAACGAAAGGCTTTAGACCATATCATCAAAATCATCATGTGTAGATATCATGATCATATCATGTGTAGATGTCACTTGTTCGTTTTTTTTTTCACAAACTTGTAAGTTCTGTTACCAAAACATGGAATTGTGCGAAATTCCCCTTTTTTCCTTAGCTACTTGAAAAAATTACAAATGACAAAAAAACGTCTTCAAAAAATGAAGTACATCTTGCAATTATTTAGATAGATAGGAAATGATTGTGTAATCACGTTTATATGACTCAAGCCTTCCTATAATAGAAACAGTATACTGGAGTTCCTATAGTTTCTATTCAATTTGATCGGTTTTTTTTTTGCATTTTTCTCCAGGAGAAAGCGATAGTTTAATTTTGTTTTTATGGTCTCGAGGCCATCAATCTCTAGGGCGCAATGTCGATAAGTTGGAAGCAAAATAGCAAACAGTGAATTTCTAGCCTAGAAAGAAAATTACAGCCGATATAAAGCATTCAAGGAATGCGTTCCCATATAAGCAACTTTTTTTCTGAAAATTTTTTAGGTTATAAAATCAAGGTGATTTAGCTGCTAGATGTATGATAGTTTATCGAAACCCTCAAACTTCAGGACCATAGATAATATGACTACAATTTACGGTCGTTGGCTGTATAGTATTTGGGGTTGATTTCAGTAAGCCTGACCAGATGATTTCTAACTGAAAATTTTAGAAAAAGGTTTTTTGAGCTATTTTCACTTTTAGTACTCAAGTAGAAGAGCCGAAAAAATGTTGGCTTGAACACTTAAATTTCTTCAGCTAAATATCACTCTAATCAATAAACCTACGTTTGAACTGGAGCTCGTCCAAGTCCTTTGCACTTTTTTCTACGGCACCAGTGTCGTAAGCAGATCCTTGCATGAACGATTCCCTTGCTTTAGCGATGCCTGCAATAGAAAATGTGGTGTAGTATGGAATGTCAAGGAAAAACAGCCTTCTCAAGTCGATTCAGCAATGATTTACGAGTCATGAAAAGAATAGAATGCACTTTTCAGCAAGGCAATTGTCAGCTAAGCAATAATTTTCCAAAGAACAAGCTTAAGAGCAATTTTGGTGAGCGCTAGCAATAATGCCAAAAGTTTAGCATGAAGAGAAGTATTCACCTCCAATATATCGTTTCCTTATGTAAGAAAGCAAAGCACGCACAGCATCCTGATTTTCTTCAAATAAAAAATGCTTTTTGAAGGGATTTACCCGTAAAGCGAAACATAAAGCAAAGAATAGTGCGAGCGTGATCAGAACAGATGCAAAATGGTGCTTGTGCATGTGATTATTCGGACATCGGAATACATATGGGACATTTTTGGGACGTTTGATGCTAATCTTAGAAAATTCTAGAACAATTAGCCCTTTTCAGGGTGCCAATAAACTCACCAGCAGTGTCCAATTCGCTACGATCCCATTGTCTTTCGACCACTTCATCGGCTTCGTTACGCTCTTGGAAGCGCTCCTTGACCGATGGACCAGTCTAAATATTGTCAAAATATCCATAAAGTCAAGAGAGCAAATTTGTAAATTAAGAAGTTTCTTATAGAATTACCTTAAGAAGCTCCAGTTCTTTGTTTTCCTTTGCTTCTTTCTGCTCGGCTGTTTCAACATCACCCGTCTTCCACTTGTTTTTCAGGTCATCAACCTAAGAGAACGACATTTGGGACGAGATTCTAGACATTTTTCAGAACAAATACAATGCAGGCAGTTTAAGGTCACTAACGATTATTTTTTTTTACTAGTGTTAACGAATTCCTTAGATTCACAAAATCTGAGAAGGGACCGCTGTCGTGAAGCAGCTTTATAATCTTGATTTTCGAAATAAATATGCGCAAATTATTTTAAAATTACGATATAGCTGTTATTTATCCATTTTCGCAGAAATAATGCTATGGTTAATGTTTTCAGCGTCTAGCATTATATTTCTCAATTATTTTACATTTTTTTTAGAGTAGCAAGGGGTCGAAAAACAGTAGCTAATGGATGTGAATATTTTTGTATGGTTTTTGTTTCCAATTTCTCAATTTCGCGGATAATTTTTATCTTACATATAGTCATAATCTTATATATAAAGCTGAATGTCTGTTTGTCTGTCTGTCTGTCTGTCTGTGTGTATGTCTGTATGTCTGTATGTCTGTACGTATGTTCCGAATAGAAAATTCCATTTCTGAACCGATCCGGACCAAACTTGGCACACATACGCTACGGGCCCCGGCGGGTGTCATAGGCTACTTTTCGTCATCGATCGATATCGATTTTATCGATTTTTATCGATTTTTTTGCTGAGTTCACCTACGGGGCTGGGAGTTGGCACAGGGGGGTAATCGAGCATAGGATTCCGAATACAATATTGGTTTTCAGGATTATCGATTACTTTTATCGATTTTATCGATTTTTTTGCAAAGTTTGAGCTACGGGGTTGGGAGTTGGCACAGGGGGGTAATCGAGCATGCCGATCATTCCCAAGGGGGGTGATCAGCATGCTCGATTACACCCCTGTGCCAAATTCCAGCCCCCTAGCTCAAATTTTCAAAAAATTGATAAAATCGATAAAAGTAATCGATAATTCTGGAAACTAATATTGTATTCGGAATCCCCATGCTCACTTCCCCCCTGTGCCAACTCCTAGCCCTGTAGGTGAACTCTGCAAAAAAATCGATAAAAATCGGTAAAATCGACATCGATCGATAACGAAAAGTGGACTGTGACACCCGCCGGGGCCCGAAGTGTATGTGTGCCAAGTTTGGTCCGGATACGGCGGAGCCGGGTAAGCCAGCTAGTTGAGAATAAAAGAGGCCATCAACTCCTCTTACACTTCATTAATTTTCTATTTTACTTTGAATTATTTTGCAGGCTTGCCTCAAATAATCCATAAAACAATTTTTGGATTAAGCGATTTTACCTGAGCGAAGTGTAGCTCTTGCTTCTTCTTTTTCTTATCTTCGCGGATGATGTTTGGATCTCGTTCGCCTTCCTCTTCTTCTTCACTTTCGTCTTCCAGTTCTCCAGTCAAGAATCTAGATACATTTCAATGAAAAACCAGTATGGCGAAACACGAAACAGAGATTACTATTGCAATCTTGTCGCGCAAACGTTTCACGACTTCGTTTAAGTTCGTAAAAAGTAGAGAACAAACAGACGATTCCGACGAAACATGCATTCAAAAAGTTATAAGAAACAATCTCCGTCGTAATTTGTTTTAGATTTGGAATGGCAAAATTATAAAATTTTGTGTACTACTTCAAAACTGCATGTGGGATTAAAGCTACAAAACAGAACTTACCTCTCTTTATTGGCCTTCACCTTTCCTGATCTAAGCACCTCATCTTCTACCTAAACAATCAGAGGCTCTAAGGACTACAAGTTATATGGAAATCAAAAACTGCCATTCAACTCTCCATCGTCTCGCTATATAAGAGAAGAAAACGGTTGATAAACATATCTAGCAAAACACTAGTATTATAATACTATAGCATATTTATTATATTTGGAATCAAGAGCTCAGGATTAAGTCAGAAAGAGGTCACAGATTTCTATCCAAGAAGTGATGGTCGCTCACTATAAAATGGATTATTTCAATGATAACTGCATTGTATTTGATTTTGGCCGAGCTGGCTTTGATAGAACCCCCACCCCCGCCTCTTTCATAAAAACTGAGAAAATATTCTGCCTTCGAAAAAATTTCATCCCCACAATTCCCGGAACAATTATGAATTTCCATCCTAAGCGTGCAGTTTGCAAAGCGATTTAGGAGTACACAAGTAAGCAGTAATAGCGATAGAATTTTATATTGGAGGCATCTGCGAAGATTTTCAAAATTTTGGATGAATAAAAATGTCAAACTTTCTAAATGGTGTCTAGGTAGATATTCACAAATTTTGTTACCATAAAATACGCATAAAATATAAAGTTTAAAAACGTCATAGCTCGTTGCAGTGCTTTGCTGAGCAGGCTCTTTTCATTATTCATAGAATGTTTTAGAAGCTAAGGATCAAGCTTTGCTATCAATATTGAATTATTTTTCTTGCTTGTTTTCCACTTCAATTAATTAGTAATTGTTATAATTTTTACTCTACATTATCTGACATATCGGGTATTTGATAAGGCTAGTTCTCAGTTTTCTGTACGTAAGTTCCGTTTTTGAGCATATGTACATGGCAAAGCAGTCTCGGAAGGCTCTTCGTATTTCTCTATTCTCTTCCCTTTGCGAAAGTTACCAATGACTCATTCATTGAATTCCCAACAGCACTTATCAGCGGCTAGAATAAAAGCTCTTCCCCGAGTTTGCGGGCGGATGAGCAAGAAGTGCTGACTCAGAGCATTAGGAATGCTGTTGAAACAATGGCCAGAATTTGTGGAAGAAAAAAGATATGAAAAAGTGTTCGTTTCTTGGAAGCTCACTTCCTGAAAATTGTTACCCGGCTGATGAAACGATTTTGAGTGTTTTAGAAAATTCCGAGGGACTAGATTATGTATACTTTGTGATTATCATTGCTCAAGACCCATTAGAATGTTGCAAACTTAACGAGCAAAAAAGATTAATCTCTGCCCCCCCTTTTACCTAGCTTACCCAAGCGTAACCCTAGTGGGTAATCGGCTCCACACCTCCATAGTAAAAGCGCACGAGATCTCGAATTGCGCTAACTGGCTCAATATACTTGTCCATATTTGCCAAGCATCCGCCGTATTTGTATAGAGCATGGCCGGAACCACACACACTACATAGCGAATGTGCCTTTCGCTGATACGTAGTACGTTCTTAGCGCTATGACCATAAACAGCACAAAAAGGAACAGTTGTCCTAAGCTGGTTAACTGGCAATGATTTCAAGCGAAAAAACGATCGTAAATTGCGCATTATCGTGTCAGGCGGCTATAAAATCGAATTGACAACTAATTCCGGCGGATTGCGCGATTACATAATTGCTGATTCGGCTCATTTGCAGAGCCGAATATTGGAAAGAGACTAGTTTGGAAATTGGCCAACAGATGCTAGAGTTAATGGGAACCAAACGAACATATCATGAGATATTTCGGATATCCAAAACGAAACGGAAATATGACATTTCGAACGTTGGGAATCTTGCTCAAAAATCCACAGCTGATGAAAACACATAGCGAACTCATAGTATAGCCTATATCCTTTCTTATTTCTTTACAAATAGTGATATTTTTTTCCAAAGTTTAGAAAGTAGCTCAAAAAATATGCTTATACCTATGGAAACTTCAATTACAATCATAAATTATAATTTTTTCATTTATGACCGAGAAATTCAACACAAAACCCTTGCCCAGTACCGTACTCGATGGTTTATTTCCTCGGAAAATATGGTCTGGGCGAGAGTTTAGAGTTACTTTTCAGGCCATAAATAAATCACTTGTAATACCGCTTGGATAATGGCTTTGCTCAAACTCTCCAATCTTGCATGAGCGCAGTGTGTGAATGCAGAAAAGGAAACCAAGAAATAAATAACATTGCCAGAAAAAGTTAATGCTTCTAGAAAACGTCGTTTTGGTGCAAATTCAACAAGTTGACCACAAAAAAATTAGTGTACAAAAACTCAAAAAAATCATGGTAGCCTTAAGTGTCTCTTTTATTCGTCAAATCTCAGTCATAGACTGGCCCAAATTCGCTAACAAAGACAATTTGCCCTTGAAAGTGCATTATTCGTTTTTCCACACCTTTCCAAAATTGGTTGAATGCCTTTAGCATAAGTAGAACAGCGCAGCTTGACATAATTATTAAGATTTACGAACAAACACTTCAATTTGCGCCAGTCATTTCCTATACGAAAGAAGTGGAGATTGACAGAAAAAGCAGTTCTTCACAGGTAGCCGAAGAATTAAGGTTAAGGAAGTGGACAGATTCTTGGGGAAGGCAGCATTAATTGCTATCGTATTTATTATGGGAGTTTTTACGATCTTTGACTTATAGGTCTAAGGATGGAGGTAACAGAAAATGGATAAAAATGCGGAAATAATTTCCTGACAAAGTATCGAAGAAAGAAAATTTTGGAACATTCGTAGAACAGAGATCTTGGAGAGTTGAACACAGGCTTTTGAAATATATAAATTTCAATATAGGAAAAATATCTCTATAAAACCCACCTTTGTCAACTTTTCGATATTAGCCGCTTCCTTCGCAGCTGATTCGAAATCGCCTTTCTTCGACTTCAAACTCGTAATCTGCGCCAATTCGTCTTGTACGGCGCTAGTGCCGGCTGCAACCATAGCTAATCCTTCTTGGCTCACGTCCAAATTTTTAGCCCAATGCACAAATATAGAGCTTCACAGTGTATAGTTTACAATATTACGAGCTCGCGGGGCTGCGCAATGTGAACGGGGGGCTGGCGATGGCTGAACGACAACTAGCGCGGCGGTGGCGGTGGCGGCAGCAGATCGGCCAGGGGATAGGGGACGGAATAATCGAGAGCACGGGGCGAGAATCGCTATGAGGGGAGAGTGCACCGGGGGAAGAGACGGGGGCGGTTGTGGAGAGGCGGTCAGATAGAGAGCGGACACATTCAACAATGGACACATTGTCGTATACGATTAATTCCAGAAGTGTATATCCATTTCAGGGGATATTGGGAGAATTACACTGCCCTGTGGTGATTTGGAAGGAGAATGATGGAGGTAATTAAAGCTTAGACAATAACGGGAACTTCCGCAGGACAAGCAAAATTTGCAGCAGTTCCGCGGATTTTTGTTTACTATGTGAAAAGTGCTGTGTCAAAAACGGGAACTTCCGCGAGGAAATAACCTCAGTCTTATTGGCACTGAGGACTGCCGAGTGCCCACAAAGTGCTCGGGAAGTTCCGAAAAATGCCAGAGGTTCCGCAGCATTTTGGCTTTCTAGAGCTTCCACGAAACTTTTACTTTCGAGTGTTTTTTTTTTCGCGAAATTAACTTAATGTACATCTTAGCTAAAATCTCCCTTTTTCTGTCAATTTCACAGCTTTTAATGTAGGGAAATGGATAAGAGAACTTGATGAATCCTCTCCTCCTCCCCCCCTCCCTCCCCGACTCCTAATTCCCCAAACCCCGCAAGACGACATTACTAGCAACCAGATGGTTCACTATGCATAGAGAAGCGCATTAATTTCACGCTACGATCGTGCCTGACTGACGACACCATAAAGATGTAGCCGATAGGGTCTGAGCCCATTAGCTTTCTATGAGATCCAGAAAACCACAAAACATTTCTGAAACAATTTGACAACGACTAGTTTTATTGAATAACTCATTACTGCAGCAAACTTTCCAAACTGGGTCAAAGAAGTTCCCTTCAGGCTAAATCTCTGAGTTCTTCCCGAGAGATAAACAAAACATACTTTTTACCACAACCTACCTAGTTCCTACCATAGGCTACGCTTTGTTTGGCAGAAAGATTCTTCTCTAACCTCAGGATGAAGTTTACCCTCATAAATGCTTAGGTAAACTATCCAAAATTCTTCTGCAGTTTTTTATGAAAGGGGAGCACGCACTGAAAGAGAGAGGAGAGAGCAAAACCGGAGTATCCACCATGAAATATAACTCCAGTTCTATTCTTTCTCCCTCGCTAGTCCCCCTTTACCGGATAAAATTGAGAACTCTCTAGTTTTTGCTTCAGTAGCGATTCAAATGAGTTTTCTTACAAGGTGAATATAAGCGATAACATCTACAGTTACCTTGGGAAGTTTTGAAGCAAAAAAAAATGAGTGGCAAGACAAGGTCAAACTTTTTTGAAAAAAAAGAAAGAGGCTAGGCCCATACTAAGCGTGTCAGAAAAAGGCTTTAATATCTCGTCCTGGGCCAAAAGGTAGATCACAAATATAAAAATGGCGATTCTCCAAAAAATTCTGGCGTAGGATTATCTAACACCCCCTCCTCTACCTCCCCAAATAAAAACTTGAGTATCAATTTGCATTTTTTGCGAGCTTCTGACAAGTCCTGATAGTCCTAGAAAACTAGTCGTAATTCAGCCAAATTTACAGTAATATTTTCTGGGAATAAAAATCTACTCGCTGTTTTTTTCAATCATGCACACACCATGAAAATTTTTTAAATTTATTCTGTCCCTCCTTCAAGAGTGCCCTCATCCCGTCACCTTCTTGATCCGCCAGAAAAACATTTCAAACCTTTGATCGCGCCAAAAATGCGCTTGAATGATGTCCAACAAATTGTATCCCATGATAAACCTTTTATTCCACAATTTTGACAATTTCTAATGTTTATCAAGATTTCGCACCCGAAATGACCACATCGCCAATGTTGATATTCACACACTCTCTTCACTCTCCTTTTCTCCTTAGGTCAGTCAACGCGCGAGGAGATGAACACTATAAACAATCGCCACTCGCTGCCGACTGAACACCCACTATTCTCTTGATCATCAGGGATTATGGTTATTAGACCAGGCATTGCGACAGTTGTCCACGCTAAGGTCATATTGGTCCGGTATAATCAGAAAAAATCCGGGATTAAAGCGATAGAAATGGGAAAGCTTGAAGGTTGAGGAAGGTTAGGAGAACTGGGAGTAAAGATAGCGCGTTTAAAGCATTATGAACAAAACGGTAAAGTCATAAGAGAAATTAAAAATGAAAAATTCCAAAAAATTTTCTACTCACATTTTACCACTCCCTGAAGTTGTTTGGGCTTGTTGCTGACAGCGAATTCATCATCGTCAGTGTCTTCGACATGCTCATCTTCTGCAAAAAAAAATCGTCAAAATCATAAAATCATAGTATTAGCTGTCCAATGCACTCTACAGTAATCCTACAGTCACCTAGCCAATGAGCCGTACGGGTAAATTCATTTATTCATTCACTTATACATTCATTTCATTTAATTCATTCATTAACATTCAAAAGTCATTTGTTTATTCATTTATTTATTCATTCACTCATTCACTTGCTCATTATTTTATTCATTTATTTATCATTTATTTATTTATTTATTTATCTATCTATTTATTTATTTATTTATTGTTGATTCGCACTCATTCTCCCATTCATTCAATTTTCAATCATTAAATAGTAACGAAAATAAATAATTGAATAATAATAATAAACTTTTTGATGTAGTCATTCGACCATATACTTTTTTGATCATCTACTTTCATATCATATATATTATCATATATTCGCTCATATACTTTTTGAACCCCGACGTTATAACTGAAATTTTTAATGAAAGAAATAGGTAGAATTTAGGCTAGGATTTTGAGCAGTATAAACCTTTGATCTAGAAAAAGGCATTCTCTCAGAATAATTATCACTTCAAAATCATCCGAACTGTTCGATTTATTGATTTTTCACGTATCAAATGCTTCCAGTGAGAACGGCGAGAGATGCATTTCGCCTCGGTTCATCATAACATTCGTAGATACAGAACAGCGATATAGACTATGCGCGTTCGCTGTCAGCCAACATTTGATGGCCGGGGATGGGATGACCTCGACGATGATACAATTGCAAAGCAAACCTTCGCAGTGAGTTGCGAATTCAATTTGCAGACTTTCGCACTCAAAGTAAACAAATGGGGCTGATAGTGTGGTGATCGATTCAAGCATAATAATTCTCAAAATTCTTTCAAATAGGATTGGGAGAAGCGAAGGTTCTGGCTAGAAAAAGCCGTACAATTTTCACTAACTTTCGACTATGAAACCACTCGAAAAACAGGAAAATGAATGAAAGACATATTATGTAAAAAAATAATGACAGAAAAGCGCAGAATCTTTTCAATCCGCCTTATTCTTTTATTCATTCATTTCTTGATTTGTTGGTTTTTCTCCCAATACAATAAACGTGGGCTCAATTAATTCCATGCGATCACCAATTAGACTTCCAAGATGTAGATTTTTTTAGCCGACATCAGATAAAAAAAATTTCTAAGCATGAGGTGCACATCATTTAGCTAGCTTTTCTCCACATTTTCAAAGGTTGTCTCCCTTCCTTCGATCCCCGAAGGTTTTTTTCAATGTTCAAAATGGGAAGGGATTTACTTTTGCGAATGATAAGCTGATTTCTCGTATCTGGGCAGCCACGTGCAAATGACCAGTAGTGTGCATTTGCACAAATTATCTTAGGATACTAGCATGCAATTCAATTTATTCTTTGCTGTTGGTCACAATTAGAGATTCAAAATCGATGCTTGCGGATTCACTAGGATTTTGATGCTGAACTAAATTTTTTGATGCACCCTTATTCCCGTTTTAGCACTTCCCTTGCTATCCAAAAATTTGAGATTCCTTTCCCACTCGGCTCTCTCTAGTATTCAGTTGTTGCCACCGCCTACTCAGTCATTCCAAAGCACTCTCTTGTTCGATTCTCCCATTCCTCGAAGGGCTGTCTTTATGTATTCATGAAATCATCCATTCTCTCCCCCTCACCCCGTCCTCCTAATTTAAAACTAACATAGTTTTCAAATTCAAGTTGCGCTTACCTTCAGTATTAGCTGGATCCATAGTCTTTGCAATCTCAGGATGGAATACTTCCAACATGTGCACTTTACACAGCAATGCTCCTTGATGTGAATTGTAGTTGGTAGGCCTGGAATCAAGATTTAACCATTCAAAAGGACACCTATTGTGATTTCCTTGTGAAGAAAGGTCGGGAAAAATTGGCTGGACATTAGGAAATTGGTGGTTTTAAGCATTGCAAATACCAAAATCGCTGCGCTGCATTGTGTAGGCGATAATTGCGGGTTACGTCTCGATCATGCGCGTAAAACTAGGAGCTATCCATTTGTACTGTCCCACTTTTTTACGTTCTCTGGGTCAAAGTTTGGCATATTATTGCACATCCGATTTGACATTAGTCATAGTCATGACGACGGTATTCAAAAGCACCCTTAGGACTTGACATTGTGCAAAAAGTGTTGAGCTTTGAATGATTGATAGATAGTGAATGTCCAGGAGAATCTGGATCTGTTCCTTTTATAGTGAATTGGAAGGTTTATCTAAGCCAATGCTCAAGCGGTAGCTCATACGATTTATTCTTAGCCGAGAAATTCTGCTCTAAACTCCAACCCATACCGTATTCTATCGAGGATGCTGATTGGTCCACTCGCAAAGGTTATCATCCGGTGAAGTTCAAAGCTGAATTTCTGTCTTAAACAGTTATGAGAGCTTATTAGGCAATGGCTTAGCTAAGCGCTTCATCCGTTGCAATGAAGAGCAAAACACAGTTACACAGATTTGCCTGGACAGTGCTTTCAAAGTACTGGGTAAGATGATATAAAGTTCTTCCAAGAAATAGGTATTCGATTTGTAAAGAATGCTTAGCAGGGAACGATGAAAACTTGGAAGACAAATGATAATCAAGGAAGAAGGATAATCATTATATAGTAGAGAGCGAACGGAATCTCAAGAAAAATATCCCGGAAAAGTTGAAAGGTGTGCCTACTGCATGATGATATCTGCAGATATTATGGAAATTGGTCCTAACTGGAATTACATCCATTCTCTAACCGTGAATGCTCTTTGAAATGTTGATTCCAAATCTATGTTCATTATCTGCTGTGCGACCCTCTAAACGAAGTTATGGAATTTTCCCATAGTGATTTCGGAAGTTCTAGGCAGTCAAAATCGTCAATATCCAGGCTTTCAGACTCGGATACATCGGAGACAGTTTTCTGAGCTCAACTAAAGCATTATCTTATTTGAACACTCTTTTGCAGTACGTAAATGACCATTCCAACGATATTGGTGAATTCCGTCATGAAAAACAGCGCAAATTTTGGTGGCAAAAAATGCTCATAACTTTTTCCGAAAAATGCACGGTGGATAAAGAAGACAGATTTGGAATCAGCGCTTGAAGATACATCTACTGGTGCAGGTTTCATTTCAAAAGGCCATCATCAACTGTCCTTGCCTTCTAAGCATTAGAGTATATTTGAACATAGAATGGATTAGTAGAAACAGGCTTGAAAAAATTGTATGAAAAGCGAATTTGCCGATAGCAAAGCAATCTTAAAAATCAGCATCAAAAGTTAGAAATCATATTAGCCATGACTTGTCAAAATTTCGCGTTGGACCCTTTTTTTACTCATTTGAACAAAATCGATTCAAACCTGAATAAATATAGCTATGGCCTTCTAGGAAAATAGCAGATCAATATTTTCAACAATCAATCTCAGAAAGGCTTGAAGACACATAACAAATGCATATAGCATTTGAACAGATATTAATCTGTGGTTCAGCATGTGACACGGGATTTTACCTCATGCATAACGAAAGCAGCAGCAGCAAGGTTAAACAATTTTTTCTAAGTGTAAAGCTGTGACAATAAATGAACTCGATGGGAACTGCACGAATGGTAGGGGAACAACGAAGGAGATGAATGGGGAAAAAAGTGCACTATGAGTTGACAAGGAAGCCGGCCCTTGGTTGTGGGTGGGGAAGGGGGTCGGGGGATGAAGTGCGCAAGCTGCTGGTAGCAATGTCTCAACAAAGCTGCGCGGAACGGACGTTAAATCGAATTTCACGCCTTCTACACGACCCCCCCCCCCAACCCTTAGCTCGTTAGTATGTTGCTATTGAGCTCTAGATGATATTCCCTAGAGCTAGCATAACAGCAAAGAAGAAAACTGGAGAAGTAAACTTATATCAAGTTGCCAAAGTTGGAAAAAACATGAATACAGTGTTATAATAAGCAGCCATGTAAAATTGAATATATTTTGAGAAGTTAGAAATAAAAAAAATAGGTAGTAGATCAAATGAGGTGGAAAAAAGCCTCACTGCGCTGGAAATGGTAGGCTCGTAGTCACAATAAGTTTTGATTTGTCGAGAGAAAATCAAAGGAATACAAATATTCAATAGCATTTGTAGGTTTTAAAAGCAAAAAAAATCAAAATTGAATGAAAAATGATGTAGTATAAGCGGGTTACAACGCATATTAGCAAAGGCTCATTAAATTTTCAACCTTTAAACCTTTATGGTCCTATTATCACAAATTTTGTCATATAATATTGACTACTTTTAGTATACAGGGTGTCCCAAAAAAATGCATCGAACGTTTGATCGTTAATATCTCTCTTCCCAAGAAGTCTTTTCCCTTGCTTCAAGTACCAATCTGTAGAGCTGGCTTCAACTTAGATCTGCATTATAGAACGAGTCACCCATCTCTCTTCATTACTGTAGGATTACGGTAGAAACTTCAAAGAGGGTTTTAAGCAATGAAAGGCCATATTTTGCCCCAGAAAGGAAACAAAAGCCTGAAAGCTTTACACTAGGCTAATTAGAGTTGCTGATTATACTGTAACGTTCCCAACTTATTACGATGCTTCATTGAAGAGTTATGGCAGGTAAGAGATAGCGGTCATTTTTTCAATGTTCCTACAAAGTGCGGTTAACCGTTTAAAAAGCTTCTAAATCTTGTGAATAGTTGCGTATTGAACTCAGCGTCCATAAAACCCCAATACACAAGTTTTCACATTTTTTTGAAAAATTTTGAAACGGCAGTTTTTTCCACATTGACACCATATGTTTCAAGTTTCTACCGTAATCCTACAGTAATGAAGAGAGATGGGGGATTCGTTCTATAATGCAAAACTAAGTTGAAGCCAGCTCTACAGATTGGTGCTTGAAGCAAGGGAAAAGACTTCTTTAAAAGAGAGATATTAACGATCAAACGTTCGATACATTTTTTGGGACACCCTGTATATTAGGTTGATGCACAATTCTTGCACCAAAAATTAGAACAAAATCGTTTTAAAAATGCTTGATAGGCTAGTCAATCTGCAGAATATGCTTATTGTTACGCAAATAAAATATTATTTTATGGTAAATTTTAGAAAATCAATTTGAAACAAAATCAATAAGTCAATTCTAAGAAATCGAAATTCATAGCTTTCGTAGGCAAATCCGATCAATGTCAACTTTTCTTTGTCAAAAAGAGTATGTTATAAAACTAACACCAAACAATTTCAAGACCAAAAGCCGAAATCACTTCTTGCGTATTTCTCTCAATCAACTTATAACTTTGCCATATGCCTCAAGAAGTTTTGAATCGAGCATCATCAGAAGGCGCAAGATTTTCTCTCTCTAGTATGTGCAAAGCAAAAGATTTTATTGAAGCTGGATGAAGTAACAGAATTTCAAAAGTGGTGCAAGAGTTATGCATCAACCTAATATTTACTAAAAGCTCATAAAAACAAGCGTCGTTGAAGTAAAAAGTTAATTCGAAATTGACAAATCCCAATACTGAAAACTGAAATTGATAATCATCTTTCAGTTATAATCATCTTCAAGTTTTTTTAATAACTTAGAAGTGAAACTTTAGTGTCGTTTGAATGCTTGAATTTCATTATAAAAAATAACCGAGGTCGAGAAAATGACGCATTTGAGTGACAATAATTCGAAAGAAGCTTTCAAGAAGTTTAATCACTTTTCTGTTATGCTAATTTTTACTCACTTTCGGACCTATACGGGTGCTTGAACTCTCAATACGAGTGCTAAATTTACGTGAAATTGTAAGCACAGAAAAATTTGCTTCAAAGCGAACAGAGGAAGACGGAAAAATAGCAAAGAAATTCCCAAAAAATTTCGTAAGATCCTAAGATATGGAAAATTACTATTCGAAGATATGCATATTTAATAGTTCTAATATCATGGAAATTAACTTGATATGATAAGACTACGAACATCTAGTTATTTTTCACTAATATTCAATAAGCAAGAAAGCATGAGAAATCTCCGTTTACCCTAATTTCACGCAAGGCACGGGGGAAATTTTTCCAAAATCGACGAGGCCAACCAAGCCGAAGGACTTCGTAACCAAAGGACCCTATACCTTGCTGTATATTGCTTTAAAGAATTGTACGGCATAAAAATCGCTTCCCGAGATATAGTGAAGCGGCTAAGCGGCTTATTTAAAAAATCGAAAAAAGGTGCGCCTTGTACGCATGAAATTAGGGTAACTATTCTAAGCCAACAATATTGCAACTTTGCTCTTCAAAGTTTTTTTTTTTGCATACTTGGCAATTTTTCACTCATTCTGCTGCAAACTGTTACCAAAAAAAGTGCGAAGAAAGAGCGAACAACCGATGGAAAAGACAATTGAACTCCAGAAAAACTTGGTATAAGCCGGTCTCGTAAGTGTGACCATAACTTCAAGGAAGATTAGAAGAAACGTATAGAATGCAGGAGAGGAAAATGGCTTTCTATATTATGATAGATGTCCTACAAGGGAAAGTTGCTCGATAGATTCCGATAAAGATATATTGTAAATTTTACGCCAGACTTTTTGAAATGAAAGTGCAAACAAAACTAAAGTGTAAAGCGCAAACTCACGTCAATTTCTTTTCGCATTTCGAGCATTTGAAGCATTGATTGTGATAGAGTTGTTTGTTGGCGAATACTCGTTCCACAGGATAGACGGTTTTACCACAGACAGCACACTCCTTAGGTGCCTCATCGGCTGTCATATCCTGGAACTTGGACGGGATCTCAGGAATAGGCGAAAGCAGCAACAGGTGGCGAAACATCTCAACCTCAGTGGAAAGCCCTACCGTAGTACTGGGGCTGGGTTTACGCTATTACGTTTATGAGCTTGTAGAACCAGTAATCGTGGGGTCGTGTAAGGAAGTGCATTCACCCTACGGCGAAACTAAATGAGGACAAGGACTTGAACCGGATCCAGCGAAATGCGAACCGATGTGCCCGAAAAACACTTGACTTATAGTACCACTTCACGAGGCTGCTGGACTGGTTGCTTGGTAATAGAAACGATTTTTTATTGCTAGCCGAACTGCGGGGAACATGTGGCACGGAGGGCGAAGGGCGCATATGGCATTAGCGAGGGGAAAAAAATGCGAACTGTGGGAAAGCGTTAAGGGGGCGAGTGCGTGTAGACTCAGAGACGAGGAGAAAAACAAGCACATGCGAGCTTGTTCATAGTACCAGCCTTGCAGCGTCAGCAGGAGAAATTTCTTACCCCTGGGGAAACATTTTTTCTGAAAAAAAGGTGAAGAAAGAATCCGTACCACTGCAGATTGTGCCGTTCAAAGCCACTTTAGCATATCTTTTCAGCTAATCCCGCGTTTTCATGATTGAAATCTAAGTGCTTTACAGTATGCCTACAGTACCATAAAAAGACGCGATGCCCCATACTTCTCAATTTACAACGCTTTACTTTTTTAACGTCTCATAGAAAGATGATTTAGAGATGTATCCAATTTTTTGAAAAAATTTCTCAGCATACCGCACTGCTGTGAATCGTGAGCCATTGGATTACGGTAGATGTACGGTAGGGGGTGAGTTCGCTCTAATTTTGCCCAGTATGCAAAATATGGTACAGAGAAATTGCATGTAATTCAAAAGTATTGACCCGATCGTATATATCAACGCGGTGTATAACGGTAGGGCAGTGGCGTACCGAGGGGGGGACCGGGGGGGGGGGCGCCCCCCCCCCCCGAGAACGGGTCGCGAAATTCTTGAAAGTTACTTACATAAGTTATAAAAATGTGCAAGCGACTTGTTTATTTTTGTAAACAATTAAAATAATTTCAAAAAATTTAAATTAGCCTTATAAATAAAAAATTTTCGGGGGCGCGGCTGACGCCACGCACAAATAGCGAGAATATGAGAATCACTAAGGGAGTGCGCACGCGGGGGGGGGGGGGGGGGGCAAAGTCATTTCACAAGAGCTTGTCTAAATATAGCGGAAGATGGACGGGGCTCCTGTGAGGGTAAGTCAATTTTCTCAAAAAAATGTGGCACTGGGGAGGAAAAGAATTGAGCTGGGCCTGGTCACTACTATTTTTCGAAAATTATCAAAAAAGTAGAAGATCTTCTGATCATTAGCAATCCCTCTGCGACCCCAGTGTTTATTTCAGAATAGAAATATTGAAATTTTTTTGAGGTCTTGAGATTTCGCCAAAATAAGAACCACCCAGTAATATAAACTCACTCGAGTAAAGGCCGATTTCATCTTCTGCAAATCAGCACTCCGTTCGATTTCGACCTTCTCACGCACCACAGCCGAATCTTCGATACCCTTCTCGAATCTGAAAAGATAAATTTGATTTATGTAAACAGTCCGCACAGAACACTATTAAAAAAACCGAACAACCTACCGAAGAACAGCATTTTTCACTAAACCTTTACTACTGGACATCGTAAAGAGGGCGCAAATGAGGATGCAATCAGGGTGGCCTTCGAAGCTAATGGAGCACTTTTTCTATCATCCGGGGTGAACAATGCATATGCTTTTGCGCATTAAACTGTAGCCTAATCTGCCGGAGTAGAAGCTTTTCGTGTGGAAGCGGAAATGAGATTGGGCAGAAATAAATTTTACGACAATGGCTGGTAGTTGAGGTTGCCCTTTGAATGACTTATAACTTGATTTTTTGGGCAGTAAATGGTTTTCGTTTGTTTTGATTTCTTGACTACGCATATGAAAGAAAAATCCGATATGGTCAGTATCCACTTTCTCCCAAATAAAGCGTTACAGAAATTGGGATTCCTTTAACATGACTTAACACAGTCATGTTAATTACGGCTTCTCAACCTATCTGCGACGAAATGAGGTGTGGGAAGGGGAGGGGGTCCGCCTTTTCTGTCCTTCCGGAAATGAATGGCGAAGTTTTTGGAAATAGTACTTGTTTTTAAAATTATGCAGCTCCTTTTTCACTTGTGAACAATTGCAATAGTCTTTTAAGGTTTTCAAGACTTCAAATCATCTTCTTTAAAAAAAGTTTACGAGGTCGTGGCTGCAGCTATGCAATTTTTTTCAAAACTTGCAGTGATATGGGACCGCAAAAATTTCTGAAAAGCATCCCAAAAATTTTTGATAGGCGTGGTCAACGTCGCGCCCTTAAATTTGAAACAGATTTTTTGTCACGCTTGAAAAATTCTCGGGCCACCACTGATATATCCACCCGGGATAAGGAAAGAGGAACAAAACAAAACACCTGTTGGGCATTATTCGCTGCATTAAACTACGAAAAAGTTTTTGCACATTAATGACGCAACTGCAGAAAGGGAGTATGGCAAAATATTTGGGGTGAAACTTTTGCACTGGATGGAATTCAATTGCTTTGAATTTCGACAAGAGCCCGAATAGCTCTAAAGCGCTAAGCTGTAAGAACGCCTCTAAAAGTGTTTGGATTTGGGACATAAAAGTCACGAAATAAGGTTAGCAGCCGTAAAATGACAAATCTCATTTTGGAACAATAAACCCAAACTCTAGCAAAAACAATGTCAGACACTACGAATGAATTTTCTTTGAGAAGTTTTATACCTAATACTAGAAAAATCCTTTGAAAGCATTAAAGGCTATGAAAGTATTCATAAAAATTTCTACAAGCCGAAAATGCCATAGAGTACTTTGGTTGGTCCCTCTTATGCTTGTACCCCTCAAAGTAAGCTATGCAAATTACGAACCATGAAACAAGGAGAATGTTAACGATGAAATGAACTTGCGGCTATCCTGTTGATCGTTTCATGGATGAGTACGATGTCGTAATTCCCAAAATTTTATCGCTAGCAATAAATTTTCTACGATAAACTACATAAGCCGTTGCCACGAGATAAAAACCCCGCCCCGGTCACATTCACATTAAGCTCTGCAAAGTGAAACGATTTTAATGTGGTGCTTCAACGGGCGTAACGGCCCAGTTCCACACAGGGAAACGGTCAGCCTTATGGCTCGATAAGGTACTCAAGCTGAATGACTCAGGACAAATTCTTTCACCTTTCTTTAGCGTTGGCCAGGGTCTCCTTGCCGACGCCGATCATTTCGCGTTCCATGCGCTTCAAACGCTCTTCGAGGTTCTCATCCAGGGTGGAGTCGAGGTTTTCGAAGCGGTCTTTGAATTTGGAGTATTTTTCCTAAAAAGTGAATTGTGGTAGTGTAATCTTCGGAATTTTTTGAGCTAAAGAATTCATTGTAGATCATTATATATGGAGTACATTCTTTACAATTTGATAAAGAGTAAGTTGATATCCACAGATGGTAGCAGACCGAACGAGGGGAGACCGTAGTGAAATTTTTAAAAGTAGCTCAGATGAGCTATAAAACTGTATTTGTGACGTGCTCTCAATATAAATAATTAAGATTGTTCTAAAAATTGTTAGAATCAAAATTAAATTTGTATAGGCGATTCATAGCACGCAAAGACTGCGGACATATCGGCGTCTCCGTGATCGTGCGCTCTTTCATTTCTCTTACCGTCTGTTGTCTCTCCTATGCACAAACTATCTTCGTCGGACGCAACGGCGTCCAGTCTTTGCGTGTCATGAATCGACGATAAACTTGAGGGTTCGACCGATCCCCGACCGCCACAGTCACAGATAAAACAGATTTCTTACAAAAGGATTTTTGAAATGTGTGAAACTACCGAAAAATAGGCTAAAGGAATTTGTGGATTGGTTTTCAAAAAAATTGCAGGGGAGATCATAGAAACATTTACACTCAACACTATCGTCAAAATAATCTCCCTCTGTAGAGCAAATACCATCCATAAATGTTGCCCAAATCACTGTAGCATTACGGTAGCGCAATCGTATAAAAAGTATCACGAACCTTGCCAATCTCAGTTAGTTTTTGCCGCTCTTCCTCCATAGCTGCCTTGGCGGCATGGAGTTCCTCCTCTGCGGTACTGGCAACTTTCCCTTCTTCAAATTCCTGTAAATTCGCAATTTCAAACACGAAAAAATCTATATTGGGACTTTTCGCACTAAAATATCCCCTCACCTGCTTTACTTTCTTTATCTCTGCTGCTTGCTTAAGTTTTTCCAGTTCTTCCTCTCGAGCTTCATCTTTGACAGGTCCTTTGGTTTCCGTGATCGCAGACTTCTGTAACAACACGGGTGAGAGAGCTTTGGTTAAAAGGTGAAGGAGCATTACTCCTCCAGGTTCAAATAATTACCAGCGTCAGAACCTTATAAACTCTAGAAATTCAAAGAAACTAACTCAAAGAACTCAAAGGAATTTTACAACAGCAAAAGTATCTTCTATTCAAAGTTTCAGAATCTCAGAGAAACAAGTTCATACAAATTCCTCTCTACTCATTCTGATACGCGCTTGAAAATAATTACAGTTTCAAAAATATCACAAGAACCTTGTATCCGAAAAAAAAACTAGACAAAACCTCTTTTCAAACGTGTAAGAGCGTCAGAATAAATGAAAAAACACAGCTCTGTAAGCTCCTGATGGCCGCTTCACTTCTTACTAATATAAGGTAATTCATATTTGATGACTTACGAGCAGGAAAGGCCTTTTACTTGGCACTAGATGGGACGAAGAAAGAAAAAATTATTGACGATGAATATGACATGCAGCATTTGACACATGAGTAAATTTAGGCCGTGTTGCTATGAAAAGTGCGCCCTCGGCAAAAAAGAAGAAAATTTGGGTCTGTAGCAAAAACAGTTCCGTTAGAGGTACTGTTTTTTATGGTCAGTAAGAAGAATCGCTAATACATGCGCTATATTTTCATACTGAATCACATGTTCAAATTAATGCCTTCTCTTAAGAGTAGTAATAAAGTTCTTAGAAATCCAACAGAGTCAAATACAGTTAAAATAATTTGCATTTTTTCGCTCAATTTCTTTATACTCCACCTTTCCGTAGCTTAGGCCTCATCTTTAGTTTTGAATTTTGCTAATTTTAAAGCTTCTTTGGGAACTACTGACGATAGGCACCGAAGTTGCACTACCGGTATAGTTGTAAGCCCCGAAACAGGACAAAGTAGAAAATACACACAAAAACATTGAATTTCTTGTGTTCCTAATTGGGTTTTATTGAATGGTTATAGCACGTAAATGCTAGCGAGCGTAGCTTTGGCACCGACGAAGTATTGCTCATTACTCCAAAAGCTAATTTGCATTTGTTTCACAAAATTACGAGATCTGATGCACTTTTAGAAAAAATTATTTAGCATTGCAGCAGAAATTTCTGGAAATTAGCGCGCAGATCCAAACATTGAGAAAAAATTTTATGCTTTTCGATTTGGTAAAAAGTGACAGAAGACCCCAGAAAAACACGCAATGCGAGTAATATAGGTTTTTAAGTAAGTTTTCTAATGGGCAGAAGCTTTGCTGATGCATCGCATTCAAGAATTCGATAGAAAGGGAAATCATTTCTTACTGATTTTTAAGACATTATATCTACTCGCAAAAATGTTTGGTCTGCACAAGCTCTTCATTCAAAAAAAGCAAGAAAGTCTACGTTAGTAACATTATCGATTTGTTTAAGAGTGTTTTATTGATGATTTGATCTGCGAGATATGCCACTTGTAGCTTTCTTATAATAATGATAAGGTAAAAATCTTCTGGTGAGTTATTGCATGACGAAAAGCTGTTTTTTTTCTGTTTCATAGACAAAAGATTGTAAAATTCCATTCTGAGAGTTATATCTGCAATTGCCGTACTCACAACAACTTTACCACTGGTTTCGATTTTTGTTACATCAAACTCCACAGAACCAGAAGAAGACTCGTAACTACCGATGGATCTTTTTTCATTTTCACTACTACAATCTTATACTAGTTTTGAATCTAAACAAGGTCATTCACGAAAATCTGCTTCTGAAAGTAAATCGAGCTTTTGCACAAAAACTTTTTACACTTTTACCTGTTTCTGGGCAACTATACTGCTATTTGTTGGAGACAATATTTCCTGTCAAAATGACTTCAAATGACGATTCAATCCGGGAATATTTCAACCTCATACATGCTATCAATACTTCACCCACCATCACTGATATCGAACCCGTCACATATCATTCTAATAATTGTGGAAATACGTGGTATTTTTACACAAAATGACTCCACCATGTTAAAGGTCTCACTGTATTTGGAATTTGCTGGTGTCAAGGAATATTTGCGCACAGGTTCTTGGAGTGCATATATGATGCCTGTTTAGTGTATGGGAAATAATTTCAAGCAAAAATATGGTGTATGAATCCTTGTTCTGGCTGTCAGGGCTCGGCACAGATGGCTTATGAGCAAGCTGGATATTTATTTATTTATTTATTTATTTATTTATTTATTTATTTATTTATTTATTTATTTATTTATTTATTACGCCAAGAGAGCGCTACACAACAGGTTAGTAACCAAGAGTTTCGAAGGAAAGAAATAAACAGTGTTGCAACTCAAACAACGGAAATGCTACGAATCTATGCAGCTAGCTAGCTGCATAGATTTTCGAATAGGCAAATTCGCCGATCTAGATCCGAAATATGATTTAAATGGAAAAATGCAATGAGGTTTAGCTACTGGAAGCTGCTATAAAAATTATTCATCGTTATCGTTTTTGGGAGGAAAAGCGAAGGAAAAATCGTTTTTTTTTTGACCGAAAAAACGCAAATCAGGTTACATTTTTATCGACGTTTCGTTTTTGCGGGTTTCTTACATTTAGCGTTTAGGGTCAGAGGGGATTTCGAAAATTTTGCGAAAGTCAAGGGGAACTTCGTTTGATTTCAAGCTCAACAATGTTCCATAAATGGGTCAAAGAGGGTTCTATTAGAATATGAGGTGCTCTCCTACATTTATAGAAATCTAGAATTCGATTTCAATAAAAATTCCAAAATTGTACTTACGAAGCTCTGTGGACTACTGAAGTGAACTAAGCAAATTTGACGAACATCAGGGAAGCTACTCTACCGGTATAGTTCTCAGCCCCGAAACCGGACAGTGTTCACAAAGATTCAGAAAATTTTTAAAGATGTCTAGTATTCTATTTATCAAATTCTTAAACATTTTGCTATGTGATTGAGCAGACAATGTTTTGAACATAATCGTTTTTTGCATTGTTGTTCATACCGGGTCGATCAGGCAGGCTAAAAAATTCAAATAGTGACTTTGTAGGCCGTAAACTAATTTTCAGGAAAGGATTGGAGAGTGACCATATCAATTTCACAAATTCACAGTTCACAGATATCACAAAAGCGAATTATTTTAGGACGAAATAAAGCGACACTTCTCGTAAAGCTCAGACTGCAATTTTAGCTCCTTTTTGCGGTGCTGTCGCGCAGATGTTCGAAAGCATTCCGTTGCTCAGTCTGCACCAAGTGTCCTCGAAAATCCTCTCGATCTCATCGATCGCCAAATAATTGCCAGTGATCGTTGTGATGAACTTTCTTTACCCCTCTACACACGATAGCCACAAACAACAGTTACATAGCAGCTGTTGCTGACACTAGCGGGCACTTTCACCCCGAACATTTAGCGACAACAGCTCACCAAATCGGAGCGCGAAAAACTCTCCAGAAAAGTCGTCAAAGCTTCTAGTTGAGCTAATAAGCTTCTATGAGTAGAAGAATACTTGTTAAAGGAGAAAAATGCTAACCAGCTGGTTGATATCGGCATTCTGTCGACCTTCGATCTGGATTTTTGGCGGTGGCTTTCGCGAATCTTCATCGTCTGAGTCACTGCTCACTGCGTATATATCCTCCTCATCAGTCATTGCTTCTGGATGTACCTAGAATACATAAGAACGCTAAGAAATCAAAAGATCGAAGGATTACGGTAGCGCGCTAGGCGGTATATTATAGGGACTGTAAGGCCATCTGGCTTAAGATTCTAGAGTGTATCTGAAGACTTTCTTCCAAGTACAATTTCTAGGGGAAAAGGAAATAATTTAATTTTAATAAAATTTGCAAGGCTCAAACTATATGATCTTTTGAACTTGAGCCTAGAGGATTGAGCTACAACAGCTAAGTCCTTATTTATTTTGCGAAAATTTATAGTGCGATATCCTTGAGATAGGTATAGCCTATTCTTTTCAACTGAGAACCAAACTAAATAAAATGACACTTTGTAAAGTTTCTATCATTGATGCTAGAAGCCAATTTTGAAGAAATGCGTGTTCCTAGTACTGTACCTAATTAAATGCCCAATCTTCAAACTCCAAAAAATCTGTGATTTTTTAGAAAACGATATGATTCCCAGTATGGAGATTTCAATCAACCATGTGAAAAGAGATGTTTGCAAAATTATATGCTAAAAAGAACTATGCTTCTACAATTTCGAAAGACCGCTAAGAGATAGGATTACCAAAAGTGTGTAAGTTCACAAAATTCAACTATTTTTTACAAGAATAGAAACAATGAAAAGCAATATGTTTCTCTGTTTTAGTAGTCTGACTACAGACGTTGATGCAAAAATTCTTTAGCCACTGTCATTTCACAATACAATAAATCGCTACAAGCTGACGCTTTTCATGAAATTTTCTTAGCTCTGCACACAAAAATTTGACAGTCTATCGAAAAGTAGATCAGGACTTCCTTTACTTTTATACACAACACATCACAGTACCGGATATATGTATATTCTTAATCCAGTGCATCTGTCACTCGTGAAAGCCTCTTCTTTTAGGTGAGTTACTTTTTTTCAAGATCAAACAGAGACTTAAAGTCTGGAAAATCGAGCAAACCGGTTGCGAAGTTCGAGCAGCGAATGCCGCCCACAAAGAACTTGGAAAGAAGGGTAAACAGAAAGTCAGCTGTGGATAAAGAGAGCTATGAGGATGTACTTTGAAGTATCTTGAAGATTATGATGAAATTTTTGGCTTGTACTGGAGAAAAACTTCCAATAATCAAGAAAAAATGGTAGAGGGGCCATGAATTCCATGCGTCTTCGCGCGTTCACAAAGTGAAAAAATGTAAGTGTGCTAGAATGATAATTGTCACAAATTCGGTACCGTACCCTACAGTAATAAAGGTAAACCACTGCAGTCATCAGATAGAAGGTCAAGAATCTGCGCGTCTTTAGAGGGTCCACAAGCATGTAGATGACAAATATGCATAAATAATTGTCACTGCTAGTTACGGTACCGTAATCCTACAGTAACCAAAGTGAAATACTACACGATGGGGCAGTGTGACGACGACGACGACGAACGACGACGGAGCAAATGCGAAAGAATGAAATAAAGATGCGTATAAGCTGGGCGAAGGAGATCTGGCAGCCGACTGTGCGCTTTACAACATCCGACGACGACGGCCCCGAGGGGGCGAGGGAGGACAAACACTGGAGATGAGAGCGCTGAGAAAGAGGCACGATTGAGGTAAGATCTGACTGCTCTAACGCAGAATTTATTATGAAGCAGTAAGTGGATAGAGGTGTTGGGTTAAAAATACTGAGAGATGCGTCAGCAAGTGATTTAAGTGGGGCAAAAGTTGCTGAGAAACGGCTTGATCGCACATTTGGACGAAAGTTCAAGGGTGCTTGAAGGCGCGGGTGTGAGACGAACAGATAGCGGTAAATATTGGAGATAACGCAAATAAAAGCCGATCCATATATTTTTGCTGATAAAAACTTTCAATGGGTTTATTGTAGTCATTTCCCAAAAATGCCCTACAGTTTTTCGATAATACTGCAGATTCCTTGAAGTAATACTTATTATATTTTTGTACTGTTTCCCTTTCTCTATGCGAAGGACACTTGTAGAATATAAATATAATAGAACGGTTGATGTAGCGTCTCTGCGGTGACGACAACACTTGCGCGTGAATAAATGTCATGATTGTAAGTGCGCTAAGCTTCGTTCCTTGAGCCTAAAAATGGATAGAAAGCGCAAAATGACATTGTTTACGCGCAAATGTTGCCGACAACTCAAGAGTGCTGATTTAACCATCAAATCTACTAGATTATAAGCAAATATTCTAAATTTTTATTGATCGGAATTTTTTCAACGAAAATTTGCTCTTTTTCATCTATTTGGGCTATCGAAGTAATCTGCAACGGAAACATTGCCCTTTTTCATTTCCAGATCAGATAATGGCGGGGACGGTCGCTATAGAAATGAAAGCCTTGTAATTTTTTTTCACCTAAGTTAATCTTTCATAAAACAAGTGAATAGTTTGTATGTTTATCGAACACTAATTGAATTTCGAAGGTAACAGTACCAGACATATACACGATTCATGATACGCAAAGACTGGGCGCCATTGCGTCCGGCCAAGATAGTTCGCGCATGAAGGAGACAGCAGATGGTAAGAGAAACGAAAGAGCGCCCGATCATAGAAAAGCCGATAGGTCCGCAGTCTTTGCGTGCTATGATTCGCCTACACAAGATCTTATAAATTACCCTACAAAACCTCAAGCTACTAATTTTCAATTTAGTACTCTAAAAAGGAACATAGTTGGGAAGAGAAGAATATCTTGATCATATCTCATCCAAAGCACAGCTCAACAAACCTGTTTTCACCAATACTGGATCGAGCATAGGATTCGCCATGGCTGTACTGTGCCCTGAAAAAAAATTTTTTTGAGAAAAGTGTGTGATACATCACCCAAAATTGTTCCCATATCAACTGTCAACTGGCCGCCTTTCGATCATTCTAACATGTCAACTTCGGATAAGCGCCCTAAATCCGCTGGAATTAACGTGTTAAAACGATCGAAAGGCAGCCACGTTGATGGTTCATATGTAAACAATCCTGGGGGATGCACGATACACTATTAGGGAAGAATATTAGAGGTAAGTTCTAGGTAAATCATGGAAAATACTTTGTGTAGACACCTATTTATGCAAAGGTTTAGCGTTTTTTGTCATCGTCTGTTCATGCCAGATTAGCATCATAGACCTCGATTTTCGCACTTGAACGACTCCTCCCATTCGCTCGCTTTCCACTCAAATAGCTTTTCCACAACTCAAAAGAATCGTGACTTTTGGCATGGAATTTTTGAAAGGGCGAGCTATAAACTTATAGTGAGTGTAAGTATGTGCTCTTACGTTGCCGACAACATTTGCGCGTAAACAATGGCATTTACGCTGTGGGCTGCTTTTTGGCGCAGGTTGCAAGCAAGAGGTTATGCAAGCTATTTACACTATAACTATACTATTTCTTTATATAGTCGCCTGGACTGGGCTTGGAATGACGCGGTGATTATTTGTTACTGTTGTGCTTCCATGTGACTAACACCTTGATGTTTTTTGATTTGGACGCCTCGAACGTATGAATGAAATGAAATGAAGAGGTTGACATTCGAGGCACATGGCATTTGTTTCCGCGCAAATGTTGTCGGCAGCTTAAAGGCTATTATTCTAGTACACAAAAACTAAGAATATCCCAATCGCTAACACAAGGCCAACAATCATTTGTATTTCTGCAATCAGTGTCGTGCAAATTTCCTGTCATAATTTCTTGGACGTAACAACTGGCTAAACCGCTACGGCCGCTGCACTGCCAACAACTGCACATTTTGCATTTGATGGACTGCGTGCAGTTGGATCTTTTTGTCACGCGCTGACTTTTGCGCTTTTGCCGCTCAATTTGTACCATTAGCAAGGTGTGAATTCACGATATCTCGAGCGGGATGGGAGCTGGTTTTTGACTCGATTTTGTCGATTCAACCAATTTTTGCACGCTATCCTCTGGATTTATTGTTTGCTTACCGTAGAGCTGTCGACCGCACGGGCTGGCCGTAACTGCGGAGCACGCGTCGCGCGTAAACGCCTGTTCCAGTACAAACTATCTTTGTACAAGTCGTGCTCTCATGACATTTTAGCCTTGCGACGTAAGCATCACAATCTAAGGCCAGTCCGAGCGCTCGACGACTCAAATCTGCCTTGGGATCTATGACGGACCTTTGGAATCATTCTATGGAGCTGGCTTCAACATAACCTATGCAGAAGGAACCACTTGCTAGTGTGAATTACGGTAGGAGCTGGGGGTTTTGAGCCATAGGGTCATACCGTCAAATGTAATCCAACAAGCTAAAGATTCTTATGCTAGGCTAGTCAGAATAGCTGTTTCTGGATAATTTGCACTTTAGCTTCAACACATTCACGACAACGATTTTTCGATTACTGCCGTGTCGGACCAGAGCCTTTTTCGCTTTGTCAAACTTACGACCCACCCGTGGGTCATATTGTCCGAAATGGTAGCCTTTCTGGAGGAAGTTCAAAACATGTCTCCGAGAATTTCCTCAGAGAAGTCGAAGGTGCTGATTATCAGAAATAATTTAAGTTTATGACGTTATACGGTGAGGTTACGAGTCATTTTGTACGAAAGCAACACCTTGAATCTTCATCAAAAATTGTGTTTTGAGATTATTTCACGTGCTGGTCACAATTATAGTGTCCATTTTGTTCACTACTGTCTCACAGTGGGGATTACGGTAGCGGTACGGTAGAATTCCGTAAAAATTGAAAAACTGATGTAAAAAGGTGGTATTAGAACGTGAGACTATCATCACCAGCATGCTACAAAACATATATATGTAAGATTCGAGCTTCCTGGGGTGAACGACGCAAAATTCAATAAAATTGACAAAATCGATAATTTTTTGGTGGGCTACCGTTAGTCTCTTGTCAGCGTCGTATTACTCGTGCATGTGCATCTCATTTTCCGGAAACAGCACCATTTAAAAGAATTTGAGCTAAAATCTTTGCCTTATGTCTATCTACTGTATACCTACGTTAACATTACATTACAGTATCCCGAGACCGGACCACTCTAGCTGGAGCTTCAACTAGGTATCCCCAGTCACGTGCCAGAACCCCGTAGAATTCCATCGTAAACTGGCAAAGCTAGAGTTTCAGGATACTTGCGACCCACCGGTGAGTCATATTTTCCAAAATGGCAGAACACGTACGACCCATGTCGTGAATGTGTTAAACGTCGTTTATGAGTAATGACAAATGCCTTCTCAAGGTTCCTTCTAAATGTTTCACACTCTTGGAAAAACTTTATAGAGCTCCAAACTAACAAATAAAGAAATTAAAGTGGATTATCTGCTGCACAATCCGGATCTTTTTTCCTGAATTTTGAAGCCGCAATCAATTTACGAGGATGAATTTTCCTCCCTCTATGCGAGCAGTCGGCTATTTTAAATCCAGCTCTACAGTATTATACGCATAGGCGTCTGCTAAAGTCTTCAACGCGAGACAGTTAGTCAATCAAACTATGTTTACATACCTTTGGAACACCCTGTATGAGAAAAACGCTTTGCACACACTTGCGAACAACAAGCTGATACTTATGCTCCACTTCATTTCGGAAGATTTACTACTTGAAAACAAAAAAGGAACAACTTGGAGCCTGTTGAACAATGTGTACACAGCGTCTCCTAGTTCATCTTATATATAAAGCTGAATGTCTGTTTGTCTGTCTGTCTGTATGTCTGTCTGTATGTCTGTCTGTACGTATGTTCCGAATAGAAAATTCCATTTCTGAACCGATCCGGACCAGACTTGGCACACATACACTTGGGGCCCCGGCGGGTGTCATAGGCCACTTTTCGTCAACGATCGATATCGATTTTATCGATTTTTATCGATTTTTTTTGCAGAGTTCACCTACGCGGCTGGGAGTTTGCACAGGGGGTAGTCGAGCATGCTGATTACGAATACAATATTAGTTTTCAGGATTATCGATTACTTTTATCGATTTTTTTGTAAAGTTTAACCTGCGGGGCTGGGAGTTCGCACAGGGGGGTAATCGAGCATGGAGATTCCGAATACAATATTATTTTTCAAGATTATCGATTAATTTTATCGATTTTATCGATTTTTTGCAAAGTTTGAGCTACGGGACTGGGAGTTTGCACAGTGGGGTAGTCGAGCATGCTGATTACGAATACAATATTAGTTTTTGAAATCGTCCATTACTTTTATCGATTTTTTGCAAAGTTTGAATTACAGGGCTGGGAGTTGGCATAGGAGGGGTAAGTGGGCATGCTGATTTCGAAAATTACACAGGGAACGAGAAATGAAGTGTGAAAGTGGGCACAGGGAAAGGCTGTACAGGGTTAGGGATGGGACCTTTATTACTGTTTTCACAGGGCCGGGCGGAGCCGGGTAAGCAAGCTAGTAATGAATATTACTGTGCGTATTAATTTCTCGAAATAAAAATGAAAAAAGAAAGCTGCACCAAAATTTGACGGTAAATGTGTGCATAATCTTCAAATGCGTAGAAATTCGTCTGAATGTGTAGAGTAGTTTTTGCTACTATGACAGCTGTCAAGAGACAGCCAAGTATTAAGATAAAATAAACCTCTTTATTGAAATAATCTCTCGGTACATACAAATTCCACAAACATACATAATTACAATGGTACAGCATCAGGAGTGCCCTCTTCTTGACGCTTGGGCAGCTTGTTTGATGAGCCTCCTAAGGGATGGTTCATGCTTCTAAACCATTTGGTCAACAAAAAATAGATGCTTTGGACAAAAAAATCTTACTGTAAGCGAGGCATGCAGCTTGTTGGCTTCGATTCGCTCCTGCAGATCACCGCTTGTAGCCGCAGCAGTGCGAGTTTTTTCCAGTAATATCATAAAGCGTGGGTGAAGGCGTATTCGCTAAAATGTAACAAATACGATAGACATTCACAATTTTTTTTCGAACTTTAATATACAAGATGTGCCAAAGGAAGAACATCTGATTTTCTTGACAACGTACCTCTACGGGTGTGGCAAATTCAAGCAAAGTCGTAATTGTACCATATATCATGGAGTAGCTAGAAGTCGGCTCATCAAATATCCTTTTCACAGCACGAAATGCACGACGTTTTGTATCTTTGCTGCCGTGATCCCTATGATAAATGTGTTTTAGAGATTCACTTGGATAACCGGGAAATTAGAAGTGGCCTACTGACTTTATTATAGTAATCAAGGTTTTTCCAGCAAAGTCTCGCAAGGCCCAATGATTATCCGATTCGGGACGAGTGCACAAGACTCTACCTAGCATGCAGCTCATCAGTGACGGAAGAAATTCGTGAAGCTGCAGATCAATATTTTGGAAGCTTAAAATATATGGAATAAGATATCTTGACTCACAACGCCATCGAGCTTCACAGCTTTGTTTACAGCAACCGCCCGCATCATTCGGACAACATAGATGAGCATGGAAAGGCAACGATGGACAACATTGCAACGTATCTAAATATGCATCATTCTATCCATTAAATCATCGTAGTTCGCTCATTTTACACTAGAGAGAGAGAGAGAGAGAGAGAGAGAGAGAGAGAGAGAGAATTGTTTTGAGAGCTATTCATGGGAATGAAAGTTTTGACCTGTGGCCGTATTCATCAACGAACCCAGTGGGTTCTGCTACCCAGTGGCATTGGAGTACCCAGGATTTCGGCTCGGAGGGGGGGGGGGGGGCGACAAAAAAATTTTCCGATGGAGATGCGTGGCGTGAGCCACGAACTCCGAAATTTTTTTTTGGTATGCTGCCGAAAATTTTCGCGGGCTCGGAACCCCGACGCCCGGAAAAAAAATTTTTTAAAAGGCTAAAATGAACTTTTAAAGAATTTAAAAAATTATTTCAATTGTTTACAAGTATAAACAAGTCATTTGCACATTTTTATAACTCTGCAAGTAACTTTCAAAAATTTCGCGACTCGCGAATACCGATCTCGTGGGTTAAGCCTATCCACTGGATTCCAGAACCCAGTGGGTTCGTTGGTGAATAGGGATATAAGAAGGCCTCCGCGTATTGCGTACGCATAACCAATGTCTACTTTAAGGCTCACAAAGTCAAATGCAAGTCTGCGTGTTAATCACAGCAGATGATCAACTACGAGAACTCATACCCACTCAGTAAATCCCACTCAATAACCTCAATTACTTGTCAGTAAAAGATATCAACACGATACAAATAAGCTGGTGATATAAGCTTCAAGCACTTACGGAAGTGTAGATGAGTCGCGACAGTCGAGGAAGCAACACTTGTATCCCGGTGTCCCTTTCCAAAGACTGCAGTGCTTGTTGGCGCTTCCTATCATCTTGTCCAACACAAGCTTCCACGATCTCTTTGAGGTAGACTTGCTGCTCCTGCAAGGAAGACATGTTACTGCATGGTTACGTGCCACTCCAAATTTCTGCAGTTTTTCACCAAAATGCCTCAGTGCATGAATTTTATAACATTTTGGAGAGATTCAAACAACCTTGATTCCAAAGTCTTCGTCACCTCTGGTATTGAATTTCACTTCAAAAGAAAAATAAGAAAAATAATGGCACATAACAGTGGGCACTAGTAAGAGACTGATAAATGTCCATTGCACCGGTCCCCTAATAATCAACACTGGCCTATTTGGGCGATTCTTATTGATTCTGTTCCAGTCGCACTTCTTCACCCAAGGAAAGCCCACAGCTCGCTGCCAGAACGCACAGATAACGATAAAAAGTTTGGAATTAATGTTCAACTACACCCAAAATGGTATGGATTTCATCAAAAAAGGCCAGTTCAAGTCAAAAAGTCGATTTACAATAAAAAATTGTAAAAAACGAAAAGGTAAACAAGCCAACAGAAAAATGCAAAATACAAAAACTAATGAAAGAGAACTGCTATAGCAAATTGAATGAAGCAACTTGCCACTGAAAGAGGTTCAACGAAAGACGGCTTGATGAGAATCTGCTCCTTCTTTGGGACACCTTGGGCGGCCAACCGATATGAAATTGAAGGAGCAGCAATTTCGCCAGGAACTTGGATCCTAAAACTGTTATATTTGGGGGATCTGCAAGCTGAGTTTTGGCTCACGCAGATGTATTGCAAGCTTACTTTTTCCTTAATGCGGCTGGAATATCAGCAGAGATCATTTCGTTTCCTTGCGAGATTTTCTTAGCCTTCTTTTCTGGCGGAGGCTCTTCCTCGCTATCTACGCGTATCCAGTGAACTGTAACTTAGCACGTGACCATATAAATCGAGTCGGTAATGAGATAATCAACATTATTAACGTAAAGATGATCAGGTAAAGGTATCAGGTCTAGCAGAAATTAAAAAACGGGAGAAATATAAGAGAAACAATCAGTTCTCACCACGGATATGCCTTTTGACGGGCACTTTCACTTGTGGAGGTTGTGTGAGAGCTGGAACGTCTAGATCCACATCTTCCCTGATACAAAGCTGCTCTCCGCCCGGCATACGCAATTGACGGAGAGACGGCAAAGAGCGCGTTAAAGCACCGATTGGCATCTTAACTAATACATAAATCCAAGGAAGAAGAAAAACTCAAATCGTCCACCTGCAATCCATAGGATCGAAGTGCTAATTCAAAGTCTTCGACTTTAGCCGTTCTTCTTCGGCCATGCACCGCAAGTTGGCGTGCCAGCATCGAACATCGAATTAGGGATTGTGTTAGCTGGAATACACCTAACTATGCAAGTTCAAAACAGTGATATACGGGAATGTTTGAGTTACCTTGTCAGCTAGACACTGAAGAGCAGCGGGTGTGAGATTCACAACCCCTACGGAGTCTCCCACAATCTAAAATTTATATACACAAGTAGAAATACAGCAAAAAAGCGAAGGAAGAATTTGCAAACAAAGTAAAACGAAAACAACAAAAAAGATAACTAGAAATAACAACTTACCCTTACATACTGCGGTTCAATTCGTGGCAGATATGAAAGCGCCGACGTACTTGTGCTTGGAGCAGCCATATCCTTCATTCACTAAGCATCTGCGGATGACATCCAAATAATTCCTGCTCAAATCAGAAGTAAATCTAGTATCTGACGGACGAAGTACTATGCGACATATGAACACTGTTTTAACAATCTACTACTAAGTGACTGAGTTAGATAGCATTAGATCTGTAGAGCAAGCGATTTGTCGCTTCTGTTGTGGTTTGTGTTCAGTTACCCAATCTTGGATTTAAAAAAAACTGGGTGATATAGATCGCGATGAACTGTAAGATGAATCCAACCGTCTGTTGCAAGGCGAACTGATGTAATAATTACGTATATTGAACAAGACCGCAGGGGACCGAACATGTCATGAGAAGCAATCTGAAGTTCCCAACTGCAAGTCCGTTCGCTCATCAAAACATCAGCTTTCTGAATTGTCAAGTGCTTATCGATACCTTGTTTTTCAAGTAATAATTTATCTCAAACCGCCTGCATTTGTGTGCTCGTCTGAAACTCTGCAAGTGTTTCGTCTTGCAGATGTTGTTTGCACAAAAACACTTCCCTTCATAACGAGAAATATTTAAAATCTTTACACTTGAAGAATGTTGAAGGATTGGTTACACCGTTTGAACAGCCTGAATATGTTATCCCAGTTTTTTTTTTTGAATATGAAAATATCTTACAAGAGGATGTTAAGTATAGAAAAGTTGAAACAAACAAATGCTAAAGAGTGCAACGATTTCACAGGTTTGCAAGTATTACATAGTCCAGACAAGTCAGACCACAAGTACAAATCTGTTAACTACGAGATCAGGCTTGTTTTGACAAGTTCCATCAGGTTTACACCCACCGACCTCCACTATTCCAAAGAAAATGGGAAGCGAAACGCCTCCAGGGAGCACTCAGAGCATTGGGTCGTGCGGGCGGGGTGCGAAGTAGCCCTTCCGTGCGTGCGGGCAGCCTAATTATAAGGGTCATTCGAGCCCCCGTGCGAGCGCGCCGCATGAGTTTAGGCATGTGAGCGGGCAACCATCTCTTTTCTGCGGCAGCGCGTAAAGGAACGCTGCCCAGACGCGCAATTACGGACTGTTTCAAAAAGAAAAGGCACGGTAATTAATGCGCAGATATTCTTAACTTTCTCCTTTGAGATTGTTTTATAACAAAAGCTTCTATACTTGAATGTTCTCTAGCTTATGTAGGACTTCTCTTATGCTGTATTTGTCATCGTTTTGGATGCTATCTCAGAGCATCGGGTCGTGCGGGCGGGCTGCGAAGTAGCCCTTCCGTGCGTGCGGGCAGCCTAACTATAAGGGTCATTCGAGCCCCCGTGCGAGCGCGCCGCATGAGTTTAGGCATGCGAGCGGGCAACCATGTCTTTTCTGCGGCAGCGCGTAAAGGAACCTGCCCAGACGCGCAATTACGGACTGTTTCAAAAAGAAAAGGTACCCTCGATATCATCCCATATGTCCTCCCTCAACATGACGTGGATTACGAGGATTGATGAGGCGCCGCCTTGCCTCGGGCTCGCGCCACGTTGCGAGCGCATCATTTGGCGCGACGTGGCGCTCAACACAACGTGGCGCAGGCTTTTCCACGTTCTTCTTGTTGCCACATCACGCCGAAAATGCGCACGCAACGTGGCGCAAGCCCGAGGCGAGGCGGCGCCTCATCAAGCCACGTAATCCACGTCATGTTGAGGGAAGACATATGGGATGATATCGAGGGTAATTGATGCGCAGATCTTCTTAACTTTCTCCTTTGAGATTGTTTTATAACAAAAGCTTCTATACTTGAATCTTCTCTAGCTTATGTAGGACTTCTCTTATGCTGTATTTGTCATCGTTTTGGATGCTATGCTGCAATAGTTTTATCGCCCTCCCATGCGTATTTCTTTTCCAATATTGATGCTAGAGCATTCTGGGATACTATGACCCCGTATTTTGCAATGGTATTTTGTTTGTTTGAGTGTTTTGTCATCCGTGTCATTCATTGATTGACCTTTGCCATAACTGACGTTTACCACAGAGACTTCGCACCTCATTTCGATGTGTGACATTCTGCCTACGCTCACTTGTGATGATCCGACGCTTTCTATAAATGGAACCCATAACATCGATTGCCACGAACACTCAATTAAATTTTCTACTACCTCAAGGTTCTATTGGACTACACGACAAGGTATGGTTCCTTGACTCACTTGCCTTAATAATATGCCCAATTCTTTCAGCGGATACGAAGGATAGGTGTGATAGCACGATGTTTTATTCGAAGTGGTCCTACGACATTAATCAGAAAACCCTTCATTTCTAGATCCTCAAGGACGTCTTTATTGGATCACACAACGAGGTATGATAGCAATCTTATTTGTTCTAATGAGATGCGCAATTACTTTTAGCAAAATACAAATGGATAAGGGCTGAAGATTGAAGCAAAGGTGATTCCTTATATCACTGTTGGCGTGCTGTGTTTGTTTGACAGTTTTATTTTTCAGAGCATGGAAAAAATAACTATTTTGGATGAAGGTTACCTTTAAGAAACTAGCGGAAACGCAGAATTTGAAGCAACCTTGCGGACTATTGTTTTGTGTTATATTTGTATATAATATCAAATGTTATATGAGAGATTGGGGTGAGTGACTTTTCATACGATGAGCAATTCCGAGGTGCGAGGTGTGAACACCTACGGCTAAGTGTCAAGTCTCATACCTCCGTGTCTAGTATACTGTAGAGGGGGGGGGGGGGAGGGGGACTTTTCATACGAATGCCTCCACATCATTTTTTGACAAAGATCTAGTCAAAACTGGCACCATGCCAGGTTTGGGCCTGCTGGCTCCATTCCAAAAAACATCTAGATTAGCTCTTGCAGTACCGCGAATTTGGATAAATTTGGAAAACTTGAATACTGTATGGATTCAAAAAGTGTTTTGCTGTGAAAAATAACACTATGATCGTTCCACTTACGAATTTTTTAGTATTTAAGTCGACATAATTCGGTCTCTTTTGCAAACGTTTTGAACTGATTTGAGTATTGTCACATGTCTCTCCGTCCTTTCAGCATGGCCTGGAAGTGTTACTCTTCCCATGGGGGATATTGGAGGGGGAAGACGGTCAAGAGACGCGATTTTCTGGGTGTCAGCAACTTGGAACTCAAGTCTCATGCTATGGGAAAACTCAAAAAGTGCCGGACAAAGTTCATTGGCTTACTAGCTGTTTGAAGTAACCACTTGACAAGTTTGACGACTTTTGCTAGAAAACTGACAGAAATATTTACAAAATTGCTGTTAACTGCAATTTTTATGTGTTTTTGACCTTTAACAATTTTGTTTGAAATCGATTTAAAGATGATGAGATTGAACAATCCCTAAATTCACTAATATAATTCTTTCGAAATTTCAAGTAATTCTAGAACCTTATAAAACACTAAATATGTGCTATATGCTGCCCATCTGGCAATAGGAATCGCGCCTCTTGACATATCTACACCCATTGGAGGGCATGCGACTCGATAAAGCGAACTACATTACCACAATTGTGCCAGTTGTTTGCGAAAATGAATTCGCTGTGGCCTGACGATCTTTACTATGATACGCTTTTTCAACCCGATAAGCTTTATACAACAGATCAATCAAGATATTCTTTAGTTTACGCATTTTTGATAATAAACGTTTCATTTTAGTCCATTGTAATCGATAACTGGACGTATTACCAGCACCCTAGCATACGCTAGAAGGTCAAAGTGATCGGGGAGCGTTCGTATGAAAAGTCCCCCTTCCCCCCCCCCCTCACCTAGGCGTAGTGGAGAATCTTACTCATTACGTGGATGGAGAGGTGCGATGTAGGTGTGAGGTAGGTGCGAAGGCTAGGTGCGAAGTCCCCGATCGTATGAAAAGTCCCCCCCCCCCCCCGAGAGATTGTAATGCGCAGCATAGGAATTGACAGTTCGTCTTGTCTCTTATCTTGCTTTCTGTTCTTGTTCATGATGTTAGTTTGTTCTTTTACAGGACGGTTATACATTCTTGCTTGCGCGATTCTGTCGAATTGTAATGTTATGATGTTTTGGTTAAAAAAAACATTTAACGCATTAATGGAGTACATTCAAGCACCACACATAAACAAGCAACAAAAATAACCCCGAATAAGTGTCCAAAATTAGCAACACCCGTGCGTGCGGCAACCCACCGTCATGCGGGCGCGCTGCGATACCGCTACGGCCCGCAACACCGGCGCCCGCTCGCTGCGGCGTGGCAACCCGCTCGCACGGAGCGAAACCCTGAGCATTTCTGCAAGCCCGACGGGAAATGAGATGTAAGTTGTGCAGCTGCATTTTCTACAATAAATAGGCGGAAGCTGAAGGCGTGTAGCATTTCGTACCCGTTCCGTATTCGAAACACTTCGATTCAAAGCTTACGTTGACTCATACGTCTCGAGAAAGATTTTTGCTTTGTATGTAAGAGCAAAGTGTTACTCTTCAACTCGCTGTCGACATTCTCGAATTGAATTTTGCGAAGTTTTCAATCCCAATTTGTCTTTTCAGATAATCATGGCAGATGTTTGGATATCACAAGGGCGCAAATTCTGCGAGATTTGTAAGGTAATCATCTTACTTATTTCTTTCTTCTACTTTCTGGTTACTTCTTATTTATTCTTCCTTTCTGGTTAAAACTCTCATCATCTTTTAGTCACCTTCACTTAGTTGAAAACTTAATGTACTTCCATCTGCTTCTTTTTTTTTGTAAATAGCTTTCAAAATAAGTAGACATGCATATTGGAAAGTGGATATTGAATTATCGGGATAACGTCTCCCTCAGATTTTCGTTCGTATCTGACTTACAAATTTCACAAGCTTTGACCATTTTTTGACTTTTTAAAAATGCAAAGGTCAAATCTTCCTAGATGGGGAAGTCATTCAGGTCTGGTTTGGAGACAATCGTGCTTCTATCGAATTCCATGAGCGAGGTAAGAAGCACAAAGATGCATTGGCTAACAAAATTCGCGAGCTGGGTAAAAAGCAACGTGAAGAAACGAAAGCGGTAAGTTTCTTATGGAAACAACCGCTGACCAAGCGTAGTTGGTTGTTTTCTAGAGGTACTCACTAAACAGCGCTTTGGCTCAAATGGAAGCAGCAGCATTGGTTTCTATGGCCGAACGTGGTGAAGGAATATCACATGGGCCAGCTTTGCCAGGTAATTTTTGTCCCATCTGCTGATTGTTCTATTCTCAAATTTCTATAATAATTTGGCAGAAGAACGTTATTTGCAGCAAGAGGATTAGCATCGAAGATTTTCGATCCACGTCAGTTTAAAGACGTGACCACTTTTGCGAGGCAAATGGCCATGCGTAAAAATGAGCATAGAGAGTTGAAAAGGGTCAGTTTGAATGCTATGAATGCTGTATTCTACTAACATCTCAAGGTTTAGAGTGCACCGCCACCAATGTCAAGTGCCCCAATGTCAGCGAAGTACTTCCGGGGAGACTCCTCTGTCAAAGTGGAATATCCCTGTAGGGTCCATAAATTCTCGAATTCAAACGAAGAAGGCAGCGCTCAGTCGTTTTCTTCCAGTTCTGAGCATTCCTGAGACGAAAGTGGAAGTAACTGCTCATACACCGACATCAATGGATGTAGCTGCTGCTCACGCACCGGCATCTGCCTCGCAGACATATTGGGTTGAAGCTGACTCCCCCGACGGCAGTGGACGGAAATATTACTTTCACATGTATACCGGAGGTATGTTTGGTTGCCAGCGGTTCAGGTGATGTTGTAAAACGGTTACTTTAGAATCTACATGGGAAAAACCTGAATCTTTTTTCACTTGGGAGGTCTATCAAAGCTACATATCCGCATATCAAACTCCAGCTGCAGGAACGACTACTAGTTCAGGTCAGCTTATATCATGCTATATTCACTGTCTGTTGGTGTCCCATACTCTGCATTTTAGAAGAAATGCATGCCAGTTCAGCTGCGGTTGAGACGGTACCGGAAACAAAACCCGAAGTGAAGAGTGAAGCTCCAGCCGCGGAGGGATCACGGGAAATCGGCGATATTCCTCTGCCACAAGTTGGTATGTAAAACCAGTCTCTCGCAAATAGCTTTTACTGATTTGAATCAACATTCGACTGACGTGGATGATCACTTTTTGAGCGACTCCCTTCATTCTGTCTTGTACGGAAAAAGCCATTTCCTGATAACGTTATCTTAAAAGTGCAGAAAATGATGGCTTAGTGCACGTTGTTGATCTTTGCTGTTTAAGAACGCTTTTGAATCTTTTGTTTTGGTTCAGATGACGCTGACGCAGAAGCTAGTGTTGATGTTAAACAGGAACCCGTTGAACAAGCTTCAGAAGGAGAGCCTCAAAGTGATTCTGAGGTAGGCACTATGAGAAATTGATTTGAGTTTTTTTTTCATAGAATTGTGATTTAGGTTCAGAAATCAACCACAGCTGCTCCCACACCCTGGGAAGTAGTCAAGGATCCTTATCCCGCCAAGCCTGTCCCGACAACGCAAGAAGTCTCAACGGGGGGAGATAGTGTGGATAAGTTAATCAAGGCAACACCATACGGAGGGTGGACGAGGGTGGAGAAAACTGATAAGTTCGTAAAATTTGATATTATTTTAGTTTTTTCAAGTCTTTGCTTATATGACCAGTCTTGTTCAGAGAAATGTTTCTCTCACCATTAACTGAGAAATATCGAGCTGAGGAAGAGCGACAAAGAAAGGAAACAGAGGCGAGAGAAAAACTTGAGGAAAAACTGGAGCCGGTAGAATTTACTGAGAAGACAAGCGCCAATCTGACGAAAAAGGTAGCTGGCTAATGTATCCTATTCATTCGGCGTTCGATGATCCTCTTTTCTAGGTAAAAGGCCCCATCGAATTCAAGAAGAGAACAGCTACCAAAAATGTCAGACAAAGGACGACGGAGTAACAAGTGACGTTCCTCTCCTTTTTTTCTCTCGAATGTTGATTCTGCATCCTCATAATCTCTTGTTCCTTTCGTGACATACTGGTATAGTTAAAACAACCCTCCATGAGCTTTGATTTGTTATGTTATGCATACGCCCTCGTCGCTCCCAGTCTTTGATGGTATCCCTTGAAGAAGCTATCATTGATTTGATAATGTCAGTTATCTGTACTGCGTCAGACTGACTCTTGCATCTTCTGCTTGATTTCCAACGCAGTCTTTTGGTAAACTAGATTCGGGATTATGCGAGCTACGCCTTTTAAAATCCTCTGAGTACTTCGTTTGACATCACCTTAATGACATTTTTATACTCACTTTTGATAGATTGATTTTATTAAGATGATGTCACTATGAAGCCCGACAAAGTGTTTTTGCAAGTTCTGTAATTGCAAATAGAGACTAGCGTTGATTTCGTAACTCTGCTCATAAAACGCGGATATGCGTGTTGTGCCACGTTGGAGGTATCAGCATTGTTGAACGGCTTGTGCTTTAGGATGCTTGCTTTGTCTCTCTGTAGAAAGATTATTCAGCATTGTGGTAGTTCATTAACTGTTGTCCATCCACGCAAACACAGCAAATAGTGTTTTACCTCTTTATTCACAAATCTTTTAGGTTACTGCTCTACGCTTAGATTTTCGATGTTTGCTGAAAATTTTCTATTTTCCTGTTTTTCCTTGAGTTTAATACTATGTATTCGAGTAATCTTCACGGGTTTTATAACCATGAATCATTGATGGCATGTCATTATCTATATTTTTTGTGACAGTAATGAACATACATATAATCTTATCTAAAGTCTTTTTTTGCAGAACGGCCAGCCCATATAAAATACCTTTTAATTTACTATTTTCTACTGAAAATGCTTGTATTGACCGACTCTCAATAGTTATGGACGAGGACGATGATCTCTTTGGCTCAGACTTGGACGATGATGACAAACGAGACAAAGGAAGTCCAGAAGACAAGAAGTTTTTCTTTCGCAAAGAGCTTAGGTCTATGTTGTATGGATTCGGTGATGACAAAGTATGTTATTCTTATCCAGATTTGTAAAGCACATTGTTCTTCTTTTAGGTACCATATGACAAAACCCTCGAAACTTTGGAAGGGATAGTTTTGGATTACATAAAGGAGCTATGTGAGAGGGCCATGAATGTGAGTGGACTTTAGATTGTTTTTGAGACTTCCTTGAATTGAATCCTGATTTGTTACCTCATAATTAAAAAGCATTAATTTTACTCATATACAACATAGCCGTAGCTTTTTTCCCGAATTTCTTTCTCCCTTTTGTTGGTATTTTTTAACCTATTTATAAATCGGAAAGCAATCTATTCTTACTCATACACAACTTGTCCGTAGTTCTTTTCTTTAAGTTTATTCTCCAGTTTTTTTAGCATGAGTAGAAGCATGCTTTAGGTTGGCAAACCTGATCGAATAGCTTTGGAAGACATCCATTATCTGATTCGAAGAGATCCGAAGAAGTTTGCCAGGGTGAAGGTATGTGCATTAAATTTTGTACTTTCTCTAGATGTTGTCTGTAAGTAAGCCAACCAACTTCTAGGATCTCTTATCGATGAGCGAAGAACTGAAGAAAGCTCGCAAACAGTTTGATGACGTAAAGCAACTCTGATAATATACCTCAAAGGCTTTATGTACATACTTCTGTATAATAGAATGTGTATAAAACCATATCGTGAAGTGATAGACGTTGTATTTGGGCCAATGACCTGTATGATGCCTGGCTTCTCACTTGTTCGTATTCATCTTTTCCAGTAGCATATCTCAATCGTTCGTTTAGGTTTTGACATGCGTGTAAAAGGCCCACCACGCGATACACCCGCCACGGAAGGCTCTTATGGTTTCGTATATGGAGTATCAGGACCCGTCGTTACAGCTGAAAAGATGGCTGGATCTGCAATGTACGAGCTTGTCCGTGTTGGTCATTCCGAGCTGGTAGGCGAAATCATTCGTCTCGAAGGTGATTATGCGACGATCCAAGTTTACGAAGAGACGTCGTCCGTCACTATTGGTGATCCCGTGCTTCGCACGGGCAAGCCGCTTTCTGTTGAACTTGGCCCAGGAATCATGGGATCAATTTTTGATGGTATTCAACGTCCTTTGAAAGAAATTGCCGATATGACGAAGTCGATATATATTCCGAAAGGAGTGTCGACAAGAGCACTATCTCGTGAAAATCGGTGGGATTATACCGTTAGCAAGGGAGTAACTGTAGGATCCCATGTGACTGGCGGTGATGTAATAGGATATATACAGGAGAACTTACTCATCAAGCACAAAATCATGGTCCCACCGAATTCCTGTGGTACTGTCATTTTTGTCGCCCCATCCGGCCAGTATACTGTAGAAGATGTTCTACTTGAACTGGAATTCGGAGGCACGAAGGAAAGGCTTACTATGCTTCAAATCTGGCCCGTACGTAATCCTCGTCCTTGCGCTGAGAAGATGGCTGCAAACTATCCTCTTCTATGTGGTCAGAGAGTGTTAGATGCTCTTTTCCCATGTGTGCAAGGAGGAACGACAGCAATTCCTGGTGCATTCGGCTGCGGAAAGACAGTAATATCCCAGTCTTTGTCCAAGTACTCTAATTCTGATGCGATTATCTATGTCGGATGCGGAGAACGCGGTAACGAAATGTCTGAGGTATTGCGTGATTTCCCTGAATTGACAATGGAAGTAGATGGAGTCACAACTTCAATTATGAAGCGAACGGCTCTCGTAGCAAATACTTCAAATATGCCTGTAGCTGCTCGAGAAGCTTCCATTTATACTGGCATCACCTTAGCTGAATACTTCCGCGATATGGGATTGCATGTAGCAATGATGGCTGACTCGACCTCTCGTTGGGCTGAAGCACTTCGTGAGATCTCTGGACGTCTAGGAGAAATGCCTGCTGACTCGGGATATCCAGCTTATTTGGCTGCTCGACTGGCTTCCTTCTATGAACGTGCCGGCAAGGTGAAATGCCTTGGAAGTCCCGAACGGGAAGGATCGGTAACGATTGTTGGAGCTGTGTCGCCTCCTGGTGGAGACTTCGCAGATCCCGTCACATCCGCTACCCTAGGTATCGTGCAAGTTTTCTGGGGTTTGGATAAGAAATTAGCTCAAAGGAAACATTTTCCTTCGATTAACTGGCTGATTTCGTACAGCAAGTACATGCGCGCCCTAGAGGAGTACTACGAGAAAAATTTTCCGGAGTTTGTTGCGCTGCGAACCAAGTGTAAGGAAATCCTTCAAGAAGAGGAAGACCTTTCCGAGATTGTACAGCTGGTCGGCAAAGCCTCCTTGGCTGAAGCTGACAAAATCACCCTTGAAGTGGCTAAACTCATTAAAGATGACTTCCTGCAGCAAAACGGCTACACTCCATACGATCGTTTCTGCCCATTCTACAAAACTGTTGGAATGCTTAGAAATATGATTGCCTTTTACGATTTGGCTCGTCATGCTGTAGAGTCCAGTGCGCAGTCCGAGCACAAGATCACTTGGGCCATTATTCGAGACCATCTGGGCGATCTTATGTACCAGTTGTCATCTATGAAGTTCAAGGATCCGGTGAAAGATGGTGAAGAGAAGATCAAAAAAGATTACGATGAACTTCTTGAAGCTCTAAACAATGGATTTAGAAACCTTGAACTTGAGTAGTTTATGCATTTTTCCTTGCAGAAAGGCTTTACTTATATTTCAGTCCACCAAAGCTTTCGGATGTGCAATACACTCTGCATTTGTCTTTAACTTTTTCATTCCAGTATTCACAACGGTTCATTATTTTTTTTCTTTCGGGTAGTTAACCATGTCATGCCACTTTCCAAGAAAGTTCTGCTTGCTTTATTTCACCGTCTTTGTCAAGAATCTTATGCTCCTAATGTGTCGTAAACGGCTTTGGCAATAAGAGTTGTGTCATATTTATTTGGAAATTTTTTGTTTTTTTTTATAAGTGCTGTTGTCGCATTTCATTGCAGTCAGGAGAGAATCATTACGCTTGATGGAGCAGATTAGTTGCACACTATAAAGTGACGTTATTTGCATTGTTTGCTTAGTGTAACATGTGAGTAGCTTGTGATCTGATCCATTAGTGCGGATAAATATGTTTAATTTTCATATATTCGCAAAACATCGCTTTTCTGCGTGAACACTGAATTATGTGGAGTACGCATGTCATACGAGAAGCACTTGTAATCAAGTCTAATCCATCATCAAAAAGTCTGATAATTCGATGTAAGAATTCGCTTACATTTTATCAGTCGTAGGGAAAAAGCAGAATGACGCGACATCGAAGTTCTCTTTTTTCAAATGAAGCGTTACCCCATGATAAAAAAAAGCATCCTGCTAATTGAGTGGATACAAATTTTTGTACAATCTACAGCATCCGATAGATCTGGGAAGGTTTCACACTGATGTTACTTGGACTCTGTGGGTTTTTTATCTTTTAGGGATTCACCCTTTCGCCAAGACTCTTCTCCGCAGTTCTCTATGTTATAGTTGCGAAAAGCTCTATTTTGTTTGAATAAATGTCTCTACTATCAATCCTGATGAATTATCTTTCCGTAGCGCTAAAATTTCTGGTTATCGTGCGATTTAAAGGAATGTCAGACCATATCACTAGGTTGGAAGCATTCACTAACAAGGGAAGGATACTTGGTGACCGTGGCCTTTCAAAATGAAACGTACACCGTTGAATGTATCTTGAAGCGCTGATTCCAAATCTGCTTTCAATATCTGCTGTGCGCTCTTCCGAAAGAAGTTATGAACATTTTTTGTCACCAAAATTTGCACTGTTTTTGATGCAGGATTCACCAATATCGTTAAAATGTTCGCTTACGCACTATAAAAGAGTGTCCAAATAAAGTAAAGTTTTACGTTGAGCTTAGAAAAACTGTCACCAATACATTAGAGTCTAAAAAGCCTGGATACTGACGATTTCCACTGCCTAAATCTCGTAAAATAGATATGAAAAAAAGTCCATAATTTCGTTCAGAGAGTCGCACAGCAGATAATGAACATGGATTTGGAATCAGCGTTTCAAGGCGCACCTACTGGTATACATTTCATTGCAAAAGGCTACGGTCACCAAGTATCCTTCCCTTGTAAGAAAAGCTCGAAGTGATCATCTAATTATGATTCATGAATGGCGTCTTTGACGTCGCTCCATGATTTTAGGCCATCAAGGATTGATCAGTTTATAAAGACGAAGAGTTTACCGAAACAGTTTTCAATGAGTAGAAAAGTTGGAACTGTAGGATGGTAACCACTTGTCCTTTTTCATCAGGTCGCAGTGGTCAAAGGCAGTGTCCGGGCAAAAACTCGATTTTGAGATTTTGTGCTTACTTGAGCCTATTCGCTACGCTGAATCCGAAAATGCACATTTTAGAGCGCGAAAATGGCGAAAAACGACCCTAACAGAGGAGGGAAATGAGCAAGTGGGCGGGGTCCTCCCCGTTGCGAATTTACGTTCCCGGCTTCCGGAGCGAGCTTCTCGCTTCCGTTTTCAAGTCAATCATTCGCACTTGCCCGGTAGCGATGTTAGGGCGGCTAGCGGTATCGAGATCGCTCCGGAAGCTGGGAGCGTGAAATCGCACTGGGGAAAGCCCCGCCCACCTGCTGATTTCTCTACTGTGTTAGAGCCCTTTTTCGCCGTTTTCGCGCTCTAAAATGTGCATTTTCGGATTCAGCGTAGCGAATAGGCCCGTATAAGCACAAAATCTCAAAATCGAGTTTTTGCCCGGCCACTGCCTTCAACGAAGCTCTTATGAGTCACTCGAGGTGCAGCATTGGTAGGTTTTGCTTGTCTTCTCTCATCTAACAAGGGAGATCCGATAAGTCGAAGTGGCCTTTCCAAATGAATCTTATACCGCTACCCGAAGAGCACCAAAGTGATTCCAAATCTGATTTTTTTTATCTGCCGAGCGCCTTTGCATGCAGAGTTATGAATCTGAATGAATCTAGGTAAAATTAAATTTTACGGTCTTTCCAGCGCTCAAATAGACCTGTGTTAAGCATGAGTGTTTTGGACAGAAGGTGCCGTCCAAATGGAGTGCTCCGAAAAATCAGCATTGAGCCAATTGACCAATTCTGATGAATTTTGTGCTAATCAGGCATTCATTTTTTCATTTTAAAAAACGCTCATACCTGGCAGATAACGAAGACAGATTTGGAATCAGCATTCGATGCTCTTCATAGTCGTGTAAATTTCATGTGAAAAGGCCACTTCGGTCAAACGGACCTCCTTTGTAAGGATAAATTGAACATCAGTGACCTTTTTCTTTTTCGGAGTCAGACTATAATTAGGTATAGCTCAAAAACTTCAGTGCCTCGCACCGTAATTAAGTGATGTCAGTAGTTACATAATTACCAGTTCATGATATTATGCCAAGGTAACGCCACCTATGGGGTTTCGATAAACAAGAGACTTGTACTCACACAAGCCTGCAAACTGCAAAAATCTGTGGAATCCGTCAGAATCAGACAAACGAATCTTGTTTGTCAAGCTGCACGCTGTTTTCAAAAGCTTCTTTTTAATTGAAGTACGACTGCGAAAAACTGAAGAGTACGGCCACAATTCGCTCTGCGACATCTCCTGTACGCGAGGAATATGGAATACAAGATTTACTTGTGCCGTAACTCAAGTTCAAAGGCACCGTCCACCCAGATTTTCGACTTTCATGTTTTGGTCGTTCCGGAGCCTTCCCGTGTCCGTGATTTCGAAAATGAAGTCGAGAATCCGCGAAAACTCCCACATTCCCGTTTCGAACCCGCAGGCCGACTCTCAGCCGGTGATTGGGTGGGCGCGCATGGATGGGCGGGCATTACTGGAGAGGGCGGTGCCGACTTGGGGTCCTCTTACCTCTTCGCTATTCCAAAGCGACATTTTGCGCCGTCACTTGGGAATTGGCTTGGTAAGGGGTCCTAATTCGTAAGCTGCCAAAAGCTCAAGACCCCTAGTGGGTGTAGGGCGTTAGGCGACAAACCCAATTTTTTGGACCCCAAAGAACTCCCCGTGCAAAACGTCTCCTCCGCCAAAAACAGGGGGGTGGGGGTCGGGGCCGATACACTACCCGACGCCAGTGAAAAAATGGTGCGTTTTGAGTTACGGGATTTACAGGGCTTTTCAACATAACAGTCACAGCCTCCGCTTGCGCGGCTCCTCCAACGCGACCGCCTCGCTTGGGCCGCGCGCGGCTTTTGCGGCGCATCGTCCAGGCATTTTGCCAAGCTTCAGTCGATGCGCAGCCTGGTGCATGCGTCGGCAGCATCGATTGAGACCTGGCAAAATGCCCGGACGATGCGCCACGAACGCTACGCGGACCTAAGCGTAGCGGCCGAGCGGGGCGGTAGTGACACTCAGGATGTAAAGTCCGGTACGTTGCTTGCGTTTTGCACGTTTTGTCGCCTAACGCTTGCCCTCCCCCCTAGTGAACGATGCCTTCAACCTAAATAAACCTAGACCCACACTCGCTCTTTCGTGCAGAAGCCATGTGCAGTCATCTATACATACTTTTGCTTTTTCTTGATGATTGAGAATTAAGAGAAATGGAGAATAGAAAATGACAATATCTGTCCCTAGCACTAATTTCCTCCTGTACATGCACTTGTATTTTATAGAATTTTAAAACCCCAACCGCACAAATACGACCTTGTACATGCTCTATTCTAAGAAATATTGATTTTAACCCAGAAACTTGTAAAAGCTACATTCTTTTCTTACCAGTCTAGCACTTATAACACTGTCTTCATCAAAGGTATTCCGCGCTATTAAGATAGCAAGTAAGGTTCAAAATTTCATTGGAATCCTTATAAAGACACTTTTCCAACTCCTTGACATTCGATTTCTGACTGCTCTGGCATTTCCACAGATACCTCGTCTGGAACACCCACAGCCGGACTTCTTCTGCAGTAAACGTCAAAATCCAAGAGGGAATTTTGACCCTAGCCAAACAGTACACTTCCATTTCCTGGGCTCCTATCTCTTCTTTCAATAAATTCATCAGATTCTCTTTGCATGCAGTCACCACCGAAGCGATTATTATGATCCAGGCATGGCCAATACCAAGAAGCCAGACGAAACCAGTCAAAAATATATTCAATACCAAGTGATTACTGCATCCCAAACACATAAATACAGCAACTGGCTGGAACAAAAGGAAAAGTTATAAATGTTCTTTTCTTAGCACTAGTGTCAAAGATGATTCATCGCATGCAGAGAGAGGATGCCATTATGGACGCTAACGGCGTCTTCAGATCAAACGCAATCTCTAACCGTCCGCTGGCTTTCTATAGACGAGACACCTTGATCGGGCGCAACGGCGTCCAGTCTCTGCGTGCGATGAATGAGGTATACGAACTTTGACGTTCGTCAGATAAGAAAACTCACAGGACAAAAGATAGCGATGACGAGAAGTAGGATAAAATTCATATTTGCATTGCTAGAAATTACTCAATGAGCTTCGAAACCAGCTTACAGGCTTTCGATACCTTCAAATCTCTTAAGCAGAGATTGAGTCAAAGCTCATTTCTATCACCATAAACTGCTAACAACTTTGTGAAAATGAGGCTGCCACCAAAATAACATCTTTTATAGATAGGTTGAGATAAGTTATGATAAAGATATTCAAAAATCGTGCAAATATCAAATCGGAATTTGCACAAATCTGCCCGTTAGATCTGTCCTGATCGAGCCGATTTCAATATTAGTTAGAATCATAATCATCTATATATATATATATATATATATATATATATATATATATATATACTAGCGGCCCTACGGGCCGCTGTAAGTGGGTCGGGGCAGATACATTGGTATTTGCTTAGTTGGGACTGCATCTAACTATAAACGGTGTTCACATCTCCTCTCTGGAGAAGCTAAATAAATCAAAAATCAGACTTTGCAGGTAGACACAAAAAAATACCTGATCTTTCCCTCCAAATGCCACCACCAGATTTCACTTACTTGATACACTTGCTTCGTTCGTTGCTCACTTAAAATCAACATAATCGCTTTCCTAAAATGCTGACCAATGCAGATGCATGGTGGGTCTTTCCTCCGGGAGCAAAGGAAGGCTGGTGTTTTTGATTTCGACAGAATTTCTGCGGCTGAAGTTCTGTCGAAATCGAGGTTTTTGTGGAACTTGTGAGAAAAACAAAAATTTTCACTCTAAAAACAGGTCAGCCACAAAAGGGCTTGCCGGAGCTCAACCAGCGAGACCACAGCTTCCATGCTGGTCTTCACTCGGGAGCAAAGGCATTTTCTGGCTGAAATTTTGTCGAAATCGAGGTTTTTACCGTTTTTGGTGGAAATCGTGGGAAAAAACAAAAATTTTCGCTCTAAAAATAGGTCAGCCACAGAGAAAGTTTGCCAGAGCTCAACCAGCGAGACCACAGCTTCCATGTTGGGTCTTCATTCCGGGAGCAAATGCATTTTCTGTGGCTGAAATTTTGTAGAAATCGAGGTTTTTACCGTTTTTGGTGGAAATTATGGGAAAAAACAAAAATTTTCGCTCTAAAAACTGGTCAGCCGCAGAGAAAGAACGTGCCAAAAACCCACTCTTTGCTGTTCAATTGCTCTTCGGATTGGGATTTTCGTCAACATTTCACAAAATGTTGAGCTCTTACGACTATTCTATGAAGAATTACAATGCTCAGATTTCCTACCAAACTGTTATGCAAAATGGGAGAGGGGGGGGGCAAGGGAGTCTTTAGAATGAAGGAGGAATGTAGCTAAGGACGTGAAAAGAAGTGGAACTGTGTATGTAAGCAGTAGGTATGCTACAGCTGTGAGGGCCGTGATCAAACCGAATATACGGTATTTCATCACAATTCGTCATCGCAAGCAAAGTCAAAACACCTGCCGTCATCGCATGCCTATAGGGTGCGATCAATTGACAAATGTCGAGACAACTCTCTCCTCTCTAGCTTGCCTGCGGATGAGAGTACACCGTTTCTCTAGAATTCTCGTCGTCCTTAACCTCTACGAGAGAGGGTGATTTCTCGCGTGCTCACACTGTCAACAACTCTCCCTCCGCAACGCTGAAGGTGGGCGTCAGGGTGGAAGAACAATGTATGGTTTTCGTCGTCTCGCCGGATGTTTCCAGTTTATATAAAAGAAAGATTCTCTAGAATTCTCATCGTCCTTAAAGGCAGTGTCTCACCAAAATTTAGTTGCCGAGATTTTTGCATTTTGCAAGCCTGTCGGACGTGTCTAGCACTGTATGGGCTCAAAATCGCACGACGTTCCCAAAAACCCCGTTTTCTGGAGGCCCCGCGGAAGCAACGTGGACGAGTTGTACCTTCCAACTTCAGCCTCAGCCACAGTGGCAGCAACAGAGGGGAGGGTGGATGGCCAAGTGGAGGGACATGTTCAAACGCGTAAGGGGGAGACCGAAGGAGTCGTCCACGCGTACTAATTCGCTCTCCGCGTACCACTTCGAGCGAATTTTTCTCACCGTGGAGGGGGTCAAATTGAGTGGGACTTGTTGCAATGGCCTATTTGGGGGTCCCTATGATAGACTATGTGAAGATCCGCGCGACCTTAACTTTGGTGGGACACTGCCTTTAACCTCTGCGAGAGAGCGTGATTTCTCGCGTGCTCACACTGTCAACAACTCTCCCTCCGCAACGCTGAAGGGGGGCGTCAGGGTGGAAGAACAATGTATGGTTTTCGTCGTCTCGATGGATGTTTCCAGTTTATATATAAGAAAGATATCGAAAAAACAGTTCATGCCCTAAGTGCCGCTTGAAGACCATTTAAAAATTACAAGAATGCCCCAAGCTTATGAAAATCTGTTTCCCTGCACGATCGAGTTGGCCTACGTACAGCTTACAGACCGATAGTAACTATTTAAAATGAAAGTTCATGCCCTAAGTGCCGCTTGAAGAACGTTTAAAAATTATAAGAACTGCCCTAAGCGTATGAAAATCTGTTTCCCTGCACGATCGAGTCGCTAACTATTTAAAGTGAAAGTTTATGCCCTAAGTGCCGCTTGAAGACCGTTCAAAAATTATAAGAACTGCCCCAAGCGTATAAAAATCTGTTTCCCTGCCCGATCGAGTTGCCCTACGTGCCGCTTACAGACCGCTAGTAACTATTTAAAATGAAAGTTTATGCCCTAAGTGCCGCTTGAAGAACGATTAAAAATTATAGGAACTGCCCCAAGCGTATAAAAATCTGTTTCCCTGCACGATCGAGTTGGCCTACGTGCCGCTTACAAACCAATAATATCTCTATCTAGAAGACAGTTCATGCCCTAAGTGCCGCTTGAAGAATGTTTAAAAATTATAAGAACTGCCCCAAGCGTATAAAAATCTGTTTCCCTACACGATCGAGTTGGCCTACGTACCGCTTACAGACCTATAGTAACTATTTAAAATGAAAGTTTATGTCCTAAGTGCCGCTTGAAGACCGTTCAAAAATTATAAGAACTGCCCCATATAAAATGTGTTTCCGTGCACGATCGAGTTGCCCTACGTGCTGCTTACAAACCAATAATATCTATATCTAGAAGACAGTTCATGCCCTAAGTGCCGCTTGAAGAACGTTTAAAAATTATAAGAACTGCCCCAAGCGTATGAAAATCTGTTTCCATGCACGATCGAGTCGCTAACTATTCAAAGTGAAAGTTTATGCCCTAAGTGCCGCTTGAAGACCGTTCAAAAATTATAAGAACTGCCCCAAACGTATAAAAATCTGTTTCCCTGCCCGATCGAGTTGCCTTACGTGCCGCTTACAGACCGCTAGTAACTATTTAAAATGAAAGTTTATGCCCTAAGTGCCGCTTGAAGACCGTTCAAAAATTATAAGAACTGCCCCGTATAAAATCTGTTTCCGTGCACGATCGAGTTGCCCTACGTGCTGCTTACAAACCAATAATATCTATATCTAGAAGACAGTTCATGCCCTAAGTGCCGCTTGAAGAATGTTTAAAAATTATAAGAACTGCCCCAAGCGTATAAAAATCTGTTTCCCTGCACGATCGAGTTGGCCTACGTGCCGCTTACAAACCAATAATATCTCTATCTAGAAGACAGTTCATGCCCTAAGTGCCGCTTGAAGAATGTTTAAAAATTATAAGAACTGCCCCAAGCGTATAAAAATCTGTTTCCCTACACGATCGAGTTGGCCTACGTACCGCTTACAGACCTATAGTAACTATTTAAAATGAAAGTTTATGTCCTAAGTGCCGCTTGAAGACCGTTCAAAAATTATAAGAACTGCCCCATATAAAATGTGTTTCCGTGCACGATCGAGTTGCCCTACGTGCTGCTTACAAACCAATAATATCTATATCTAGAAGACAGTTCATGCCCTAAGTGCCGCTTGAAGAACGTTTAAAAATTATAAGAACTGCCCCAAGCGTATGAAAATCTGTTTCCATGCACGATCGAGTCGCTAACTATTCAAAGTGAAAGTTTATGCCCTAAGTGCCGCTTGAAGACCGTTCAAAAATTATAAGAACTGCCCCAAACGTATAAAAATCTGTTTCCCTGCCCGATCGAGTTGCCTTACGTGCCGCTTACAGACCGCTAGTAACTATTTACAATGAAAGTTTATGCCCTAAGTGCCGCTTGAAGACCGTTCAAAAATTATAAGAACTGCCCCGTATAAAATCTGTTTCCGTGCACGATCGAGTTGCCCTACGTGCTGCTTACAAACCAATAATATCTATATCTAGAAGACAGTTCATGCCCTAAGTGCCGCTTGAAGAATGTTTAAAAATTATAAGAACTGCCCCAAGCGTATAAAAATCTGTTTCCCTGCACGATCGAGTTGGCCTACGTGCCGCTTACAAACCAATAATATCTCTATCTAGAAGACAGTTCATGCCCTAAGTGCCGCTTGAAGAATGTTTAAAAATTATAAGAACTGCCCCAAGCGTATAAAAATCTGTTTCCCTACACGATCGAGTTGGCCTACGTACCGCTTACAGACCTATAGTAACTATTTAAAATGAAAGTTTATGTCCTAAGTGCCGCTTGAAGACCGTTCAAAAATTATAAGAACTGCCCCATATAAAATGTGTTTCCGTGCACGATCGAGTTGCCCTACGTGCTGCTTACAAACCAATAATATCTATATCTAGAAGACAGTTCATGCCCTAAGTGCCGCTTGAAGAACGTTTAAAAATTATAAGAACTGCCCCAAGCGTATGAAAATCTGTTTCCATGCACGATCGAGTCGCTAACTATTCAAAGTGAAAGTTTATGCCCTAAGTGCCGCTTGAAGACCGTTCAAAAATTATAAGAACTGCCCCAAACGTATAAAAATCTGTTTCCCTGCCCGATCGAGTTGCCTTACGTGCCGCTTACAGACCGCTAGTAACTATTTAAAATGAAAGTTTATGCCCTAAGTGCCGCTTGAAGACCGTTCAAAAATTATAAGAACTGCCCCGTATAAAATCTGTTTCCGTGCACGATCGAGTTGCCCTACGTGCTGCTTACAAACCAATAATATCTATATCTAGAAGACAGTTCATGCCCTAAGTGCCGCTTGAAGAACGTTTAAAAATTATAAGAACTGCCCCAAGCGTATAGAAATCTGTTTACCTGCCCGATCGAGTTGCCCTACGTGCTGCTTACAAACCAATATTATCTGTATCTAGAAGACAGTTCATGCCCTAAGTGCCGCTTGAAGAACGTTTAAAAATTATAAGAACTGCCCCAAGCGTATAAAAATCTGTTTCCCTACACGATCGAGTTGGCCTACGCACCGCTTACAAACCAATAATATATCTATATCTAGAAGACAGTTCATGCCCTAAGTGCCGCTTGAAGAACGTTTAAAAATTATAAGAACTGCCCCAAGCGTATAAAAATCTGTTTCCCTGCCCGATCGAGTTGCCCTACGTGCCGCTTACAGACCGATAGTAACTATTTAAAATGAAAATTTATGCCCTAAGTGCCGCTTGAAGACCGTTTAAAAAATATAGGAACTGCCCCAAGCGTACAAAAATCTGTTTCCCTGCCCGATCGAGTTGCCCTACGTGCCGCTTACAAACCAATAATATCCATATATAGAAGACAGTTTATGCCCTGAGTGCCGCTTGAAGACCGTTTGAAAGTTATAAGAACTGCCCCAAGCGTATGAAAATCTGTTTCCCTGCACGATCGAGTCGCTAACTATTTAAAGTAAAAGTTTATGCCCTAAGTGCCGCTTGAAGACCGTTTAAAAAATATAGGAACTGCCCCAAGCGTACAAAAATCTGTTTCCCTGCCCGATCGAGTTGCCCTACGTGCTGCTTACAAACCAATATTATCTGTATCTAGAAGACAGTTCATGCCCTAAGTGCCGCTTGAAGAACGTTTAAAAATTATAAGAACTGCCCCGTATAAAATCTGTTTCCGTGCACGATCGAGTTGCCCTACGTGCTGCTTACAAACCAATAATATCTATATCTAGAAGAGTTCATGCCCTAAGTGCCGCTTGAAGTCGTTAAAAAATTATAAGAACTGCCCCAAGCGTATAAAAATCTGTTTCCCTGCACGATCGAGTTGCCCTACGTGCCGCTTACAAACCAATAATATCTATATCTAGAAGACAGTTCATGCCCTAAGTGCCGCTTGAAGAACGTTTAAAAATTATAAGAACTGCCCCAAGCGTATAGAAATCTGTTTACCTGCCCGATCGAGTTGCCCTACGTGCTGCTTACAAACCAATATTATCTGTATCTAGAAGACAGTTCATGCCCTAAGTGCCGCTTGAAGAACGTTTAAAAATTATAAGAACTGCCCCAAGCGTATAGAAATCTGTTTACCTGCCCGATCGAGTTGCCCTACGTGCTGCTTACAAACCAATATTATCTGTATCTAGAAGACAGTTCATGCCCTAAGTGCCGCTTGAAGAACGTTTAAAAATTATAAGAACTGCCCCAAGCGTATAAAAATCTGTTTCCCTACACGATCGAGTTGGCCTACGTACCGCTTACAGACCGATAGTAACTATTTAAAATGAAAATTTATGCCCTAAGTGCCGCTTGAAGACCGTTTAAAAAATATAGGAACTGCCCCAAGCGTACAAAAATCTGTTTCCCTGCCCGATCGAGTTGACCTACGTGCTGCTTACAAACCATTGAATAATAAATTATGTTGTACAAATATAATGATAATAATGATCTAAATCAAATTGTAAACTAACCTGCACCAACAATGAAAGTTGAGTTGCTTTTGTAAGTGTCAACGCGCTTCGAACTATAGGAATATTAGCTTGCGTATGATTCGCTTTTGGGTTATGCCATCCATATGCCATTTGATCAACATCGTCTAAGAACAGGCCTCGGAATTCAAAGATCACGGCGGCGATAAACAACCCGCCAGACGGATGTTTATCTGTTCAAAGAAAGGGCGGCGCGGAGGGGGGACCCTGCTTCGGCGGCGCAGAGGGGGGACCCCGGCCAGACGAATGTTTATCTCTGCTGTCTGCTGTCTCCGCTAGCTCCAGCAGCCCCCACCCGGCGGCGCGAAGGGGGGACCCCGGCCTCGGCGGCGCAGAGGGGGGACCCCCGCCAGACGAAAGTGCATCACTGCTGCCTGCTGTCTCCGCGAGCTCCAGCACAGCGCCCGCTGCCTTTTTATTTTTTGCACTCTCCCTTATCATTATATATACTGCAAGGATATATATATATATATATATATATATATATATATATATATAAAACTCAAAAATTGGCAGTTTGGAGGGTATGTGCGTTATAGAAACGCGCGCCGCTCAACCGATTCAGCTGAAACTTTGCACACACATGTTTTCGACCCTTGCGCAAATGATAGGCTACTTTTTGTGGCGATTCGTTGGGTCCTTCTATCGATTTATTGATTTGTTTACATTTTCCTAAGGAATTGAAAGTTTATCATGTTCAATCAAGCATTTTCCATACTCATGTAAAGGAGGGCGGTGAAGCTCATTTTCACCTCAGGATCACGAGGATGCGGTTTCCAAGCGGGTGTCCCAGGGTAAGTCACCCATACCATATGGGGCGGGGGTGGGGGGGGGGGGGGGGGAGGGGCTCGCAGTGCGGTGAACCATGGCCCGGGCTGGACCGGGAAAGCCAACTAGTAACTTATAATAACGGGCTAAGGGTTGTTTACGTTTGTGTGTGTGTGTGAATCTCTGTCTGTCGCGAAATTCGTAGAGTGAGATACAGCAAAGGTCTTGAGCTAAAATTTTGGTGGTAGCACCCTAGCAGCATGTAGGTAAAATATGCAAAAGCACAAGCCGATCCGATTACTGGAACCTGTGAAATTATGCGCCAAACGGATCCACGCGACATTTTGCGCGCCGAAGTGGGCCTGTAATTTGACTTTTTCCAAAGTCATGGTTTCGTCTAGTAAGTAAATCCACAAACCATGGACTCCAGCCCGAAAAGAGAGCAAAAAGTTTACTTTATGCAAGATTGGCGTCAAAAAGGAATAATTGAGTAGATGATTGATTTGTCAAGGTTTTACCTGGGAATGTGAGAAAATTTTTGCTTAGGGATGTAACTTACGGTTGTCATCATCTTTATGGCGATTATCAAGCCATTATAACCCCAGTAACTGATTCAAATTCGCATTTAATCTTTTGGAGTATACTTCCTTTCCCTCAAAATCACCGATCTTACATGAAAAACTTTTGAAATGAGTAGTTGTTTACATTTCATTCGTGATGATCGGCATCGCGAGGTAGGTTTCAAAGACATCATTTTGCGACTACGAGGAAGGTATGTGGATAGTAGAGCCAGTGCGAGCCTCTGCGAAGCAGAGGTGACGCACTGGTGAACCTAATAAATCTGTAGCATCACGAATTACTCGGAACTGTTTGTGCCTTCTCCGAATGTAAACGACCAGTTTCTCTTCGATAAAGACTAGCAACTTTTCCTTCAACGTTTTATCCATTTTCTTTCGAAACCTTCGGAATAAGCCCTCAAATCGGACCAGCATGACTCCTCATTTCAGTTACGAAGAAGCTAAGGAACATATTCATAATGGGCCCAAGTTCCGATTTATTAAACGGACATAATCCAGCTTTCCCAATATATCTTAGCTCGACAACTATGCTCGGATTTGGTCGATGAAAATGAGACTTACAGCAATTACCATCTTCTGCAGTGTATTAACAAGTTTGTGTCCTAGAGGTTTTTTCTGCTAAGGAACAATTTAGGAAACTTTGTACCATTCCAGAAGGACAGACTAGCAGTTACCAGTTTTGGGTTCTTACGATTAGTTTCTGGTTTATTGATGTAATAAAAGCCCGTGTTTAGTTAGTTTATATTCCAGTACAACGACTCATCAAAGATTACGACATTGTACTTTATTACAGAAAAACAAGTAAAGCAGATAGAAATCAACAGAAAATCGGATAAAAATCGAAATATAAGTCGTTTCATAAGAACAAAAAATAAACTGTTAGTGGAATGAGTAGGATTGTTTGTAACATAACATGCGTACTGTTCGGGTAAATGAAAAAATAGCACTGTGGAGCTCCATGCGGAAACTGTCAGAAGTATGAAAACCACAAGAATTTCTCATTGTCAGAGAGAAATTTCGCATGAAACCCAAATCGCATGCAAGCGTTGGAGATACTTTAAGGCCTTAACTAAAGCAGTCCGTATGATGTGAGTAAAGAGCTCCTTGTCACATTATAGCAAAAATTGAGCTCGGATAGCTTACAAAATTTGATTTTTCGATTTCGAGTAAGCAGCAGATGGATCAACGCAGTAAGTCAGTAGATCTACATGGTGCCTCGCTGATACTGGTGATACTTGTGCTCTCCTGGCCGGCACAAAAGTACCCAAAAGGCGTGTATAACCCCTGGGACCCAAATCAGGATGGTAAGCAGCACGTTGATCCAGAATTGAGCCGTACAGCCTTGGTCGAATAAGACAGCAAGAGGCTGAAATCATAGAATGTCAGAGAGCATTAAAACAGGGGAAGAATAATGAATCAAATCAGCAAAAATTAAAAAAAAAGATTTTGGTTTCCCCCCTATACCAAGTAGAGGACATTAGGTCGCCGAAAGAGGAAGTTCCGCGGAACATCTGCAACAAATACGCGCTCTCTGTAATGTGGCTCGTTACAGCGGTCCGCGTGGATGAGGTCTATCGGCAACTTATTGTTCCCTACCCCAGAAAAAAAGGGAAAAAATAGGTAGAATGAAGCCAGCAAAAATTGAAAATGATTCTGGTACCCTCCCCTCCTCCCCCCTCCAATCCCACCGACTCATATGCGAAGATGATCTGCTCCTATAGTCTTTCTTCCATCAATACTAGTAACGGTTCACCAAGAGGTAGAATGAGCCCAAGAATCCAAATCTTTACCGGTAATAAATTTTTTTTTCAGTCAAAAGTTACTACTTTTTTTGTTTATTGAAAATTTCCCCTTATGATGTATACATAAGTTTGATTGGCTGGAAGAGTATCTTCAAAACGTTCTATCTTTACTATTCCTACTACATTCGCAATAACTCTCATGATATCAAAACTTTTTATATTAATTAGGTATTTCCTACGTCACTTCACTGAACACTAGTTTCTTGGTCGCCAAGAATACGTAGAACCGTAAACAACGGGCTAATGATCAGAGAGCATAGCCTTACATGGCTGCTTTGAGATTTGTTTTGTCAGAATCAATAAGCGTGTTGAAGCTCGTAAGCAACTTACCGGACAGAAAATGGCCAGGATGCACAAGAGAATCACGCACATTGTCGGATGTTACTCTGAAAACAAGAATTATGAAAAGTAGTAGGAAAAGAACGACTGTGAACGAGTTTGCGGAGCGCCAAAGAACATGCGGTGAAGTAGTTGAGTCAGGTGTATAAAAAAGATTGACGGAGGTTTCCAAGGAAACCGAAAAGCAGAAACATTCACTCCAAATCATCTGTGATTTTGAGAAAAGTACGAAAATGTGGGGTCTAGACGTCTTTGAGTAAATTTGCTCACTGCGAGAAACCCAAATCGGGTTAGTAGGACTGAGAGACAGCAGGATTAGAACCAGACAATGTAGAAAAAGTCAATAGTCACTCACTTTCAGAAGCCTTGTTTTTCTAGAATTCATCGATTACGGAGGACATTATGGAGGAAGAATTCACTCTAAATCAACTGTGATTTTGAAAAAAAGTACGAAAATGTGGGGTCTAGACGTCTTTGAGTAAATTCGCTCACTGCGAGAAACCCAAATCTCTTTTTTCATTTTGGTCGTTGGGTCCAAGTGGACAAAATAAATAATTAGCTGGATAATGTTATAAATAGGTGAACTCTTTTATTATTCCTGTAACCAAAGTAGCGAAAATTGCATCAGACTTTCACATAAACCTAGGATCACAGAAAATGGAAAGCATCATTGCTCCCAAACAGGGCTTGGCACTAGGCTTTCCGAAAATGCAAATATCGAAGTTCTCCTTGTGTTTCGCTGAATTTTACGAAGTCCACTTTGACCCTAAACCCTAAAAACCCTCAAGAAACGAAACAACGACTAGAAAAAATTTATTTCGAACCCACAAAAACGATATCCCCTTTGCTTTTTGTTCCAAAAACAATATCAGCTTGCTTACTCAGACAATTCACCGGAAATTCCGCAGGACAAGCAAAATTTGCAGCGGTTCCACAGGACTTTGTTTACTATTGGAAAAGTGGAAACGTTGAGAATGGGAAATTGAGCAGAACTTTCTCGTCAGAATTGTTGAAATCAGGAACTTCCGCAGGAACTCCCGGCGGAATTTTTCCAAACGTTCTGCGGAAGTTCCGGTCAGTTGTCTGAGTATAAGCCACCTGTGCCGAGCCCTGCTCCCAAACAATGATTGTGGTCTGCAGAACATTCTGATAGGAACTGCTGCGTGCAAGTTTAGAAAACTGACACTAACAACCATGTGTTTATTCAAGGGAACTTGCAATTATGGTAAAAAGTAAATTTTCTTTCGAAGCAATTTTCTCCACACGCCTGCAAGGGTGCTTGAATTATGCTTATTCCAAGTATACTGAGAAAACTTAAAACAAGAATGTAAACTGTCTGTAAGAATATTTACTGAGAGAAATCAACTGACTGAGGATTGACTGCAAACATTCAAGTGATGAACATGTGGGCGAATGTGGTTTTTTGCTGCATCCCGTGGTATTCGCGATCGAAAAAGCATCGAAAAGTGCGATCCAAGTGTAATATGAGAAATTTCCATGGCTGTGGAATTACTTATAGAAGCGTAGACAAAAGTTATTTTTGAATACTTCTATAAATAAATTCCTATAACATTGTTTGAATACATTTGCCAAGGCAATATTGAGCTATAAAAATATGGAAAGAGAAAATCGATATGCAATAAATCGTCCATATTTATAAAGATGGCTAGCTATGAGAAATACAGATACGCAAAAAAGAAGCTAAAGGCGACTTTCTTTCACCTTCTACTTAACGAATTCGAGCATTTTTCACGTCAAACCTTCTTCTCTATGGACGAGATTTATTACAGCGAACGACAATGGAAAGAATCGAATATGGTAATGAGATAATATCAATGGAATGGATTTTTGTTTACCGAGTACTCGGCTTAGAACAAACTTTTAGAACAATCAGATAATGCGATAGCGATTAGATTACAACAACGGCAAACAACTAATTCAAGTCTGAGCGGCAATAGCAGCATTGAAACCAAAGATGTTGACATTGTTACAGATTTCTTATGCTGGTGGAATATGAGCTGCAGAGCAGTTCTCCCAACTAGAAGAGAAACATAAAAGACCGTTTGAATGCCGTAGCAAGTCGATGACTCATCGGTGATGCAAAAAGGTCGTAAGTTTATGTGATTACGGTAGTGCGAGGAAATCTATCAAGCTTCTGGAACACTCGTTAAAAAATATATCTTGACTTCAACAAGGAGAAGGCCGATGCATGATTCATATAGATTTATCGAAGTTATTCTCATGGATATGAAACAAAAAAATTATACACTACTGAGCTTTTACTTCAAACGCCCGAAAGTACAAACATGACAGGAGTACCATAATATTTTGCTACCATAGACTATCTTGTTGATGTTCCAGGCAGGTGATACACTTATTACATTGATTCGATTGCTTTTTCTAATTTTACGCGGTATTTGACGTAAGCTCTTCAAAGATTATCGCTATTACACGAGCCATGACGATTTTATAATGCCACGAACAAAACTACAGTATTTCATTGATGATGTGATCTAATGTGAAGTTGCATTAGTCCTAAAATTATATTGCAAAGAACTCTAAAGAAAGATTCACTCGAGAAAACTCTAAAAGAAGTCTATTGTATTTTTTCGAACAAAAAAAAAGGTTTCGGACCTCATTCTTTGCCATTGCATTTCAAGTTTCATTACTGCCGCAATTCAAAACCTCTTCCTTTCCGCATTTGTTCGTCTTTTCAATATATCTAATCAGTGAGAGCGAAGGATTTGTTAGCGAGAAAAGGGATTTCCAAGGAAAAGTTTCCAGACATGTTCTCGACTTACTTGTTAGTGGTTGCCACGAGCTATCTGTAAACATAAAAGTGGACTAACTTTGAGCAAGATTAATGTTGCAAAAGTAAGTTGAGCGACATTAAACTATTTGCTCCGTACGACTTCTATATGAACCAGTAATGCCTTTTGTGTTAGCTGGAGTATAAGCACAAATAATTATTTATCTGCTTTTAATAAAAGATGATAATATCGATAAGTAAAATCAATATAAGGTACTCGAGAACTTTTTGGCTCAATTTCATTTGGAGACACCTAGAAAACGCAGCTTGCACAACTTTCATTTTCCAAAGTATGCAAATTTGAGAAAATGCTTAGAACGAAGCGGATGATTGTCTGAGTATGACGATACTGAAGGAGAGATACGCGTCATGATAGCACAATGGAGATGAAAGATTTTGCGATTTTGAAAGATTGTTTATGATCGCTGATTCAGCGATCATAAACAAGGATCATCTTATCAGCGCTCAACTTCTTCATCTTTCCATACAGACTAAAAGGGGACTTCAACCTACAGAAAGGCGAACAGTGGCAGCTGCAACTGAAAAGCAGACAGTAATAGAAGGGGAACACCTCGAAAACTAAAGCACGAGACTAGCTTCGCGACGGGGCGTGCCATGGCCGGGTTGTTGTTTGTTGGATAGGCTGCGATCGATACAGAGGCCGGTCTGACGGGGAGACATGAAGGGCAACATAGAGACAAATGGCTACTGAAATCGAGCACGAAAAGTAGGAATCACGGAAACAACATTTATGGGACTGTGGTCGGAAGCATTAGTGCCCTTATCTCGCCGGTTGGGAAAAGATTACTGTATGATAACGCTTATCGCTGACTGCAAACTCTAAGTGGTTTGTTGACATCACTTAGCAGAAGATTGCGCGGGTTCCATCCAGATAGAAATTTGGTTAAATGGTGGCGTATGAATGAGACAAAGAAGGTTCTAGAGTCACAATCGAATTTCTTTATTATTACCCTCAAAAAGGCATTATTATCCAGATAAGAAGTTCCGTCGCAGAATAATAAGGTTGAGTTTGACATCACTAACAGAATAATAAAATCGGGATAACTGATGCCATTACAATTTATTTTTGATGTAGGCGCTTCGTTTATTCTAAAGGTCTACATATTGAATTGATTTGACGTCATATGAATACAAATCTTTGCTTTTTTCATCAAAATAAGTAAAATAGCGGGATTTCTCCGAAACGTTTTTTAGAAATTGCGAATCAAGTCTGCTAGAAAATTCTCATCGCGCTCTTGCAACCCAAATGAATGTTTTTCATTTTCGCCCACTTCGAGTCGTTTCGTTTTTTTTTTCTAACAACCTAATTTTCCAAATAACTCGCTAATCGACAACCAGCAGAAGACTCTCTCAAACTAATTCACCCTTTCAAAGAGAACTCAACTAGGTACAAAATCATCGCTAAAGAAACCAAGAAATATTACAGCCTTGAAGGAAAGCAAAACAAAGTGCAAGTATGTTAATGTGTCAAAGTGCAAATATGTTAATGTATGTTGTATCATTACAGATGAATCCGTGCTAAAAATATCGAACCGCAAATATACAAGATTGACTAGATATTCCCCGAAGATACTTAGGTATGACTTGTCAGTTTTGATATTCAAATATGACTAGGCAAAATCAAAAAAAAAATCCGACGATCTCGAACATCACTAAAACGGTAGTCACCATTTTCTGGAAAGAGGTAAGTGCGAGTAAATTCTCTTTTTTTGACTCGTGTTGGGCAGTGATCGTGAATCAGAACCGGCCGCTGTTGTTGGGAACGAAAGTGCATTGGTGATGTTGAATACGGCAATGCCCGTTCTGCCCCCGACGATGAATCATCGTGCTTTGTCGAATGTCGCCAATACTTTGCTCTATACGTTTTGGTGTGAATCTGAGGGGAGGATCGTGATGAATAGCCTTTAGATGTGAGAAATGTTCGTGGGAGCATGCTCGTGTACTTTTGCTAGACTTTACAGTTGGCTCCTCAATGAGCACAACGCTTCTCTTAGCATGCACAAGGGGAACAATGAGCAGAAAAGACAAAATAAGCTAAATTTTTCTAAGGAAAACTGGTAGCATCTTGTAACTTATAGATGTAATAGTGCATTTTATGTTCCCAACTTTGACTGAAGATTGTTATGCACAATCAAGAAATTCGAGTCATTTACTCATCTAAACAGGAATAGCCGAGGTCACTATGACCTTTCCATATGAGCATGGAAAACATTTCATTTCATTTCATCTCTATATATATAAAACTCAAAGTGTGTTTGTCTGTTAATAAGTATCTCTATATATATAAAACTCAAAGTGTGTTTGTCTGTTAATAAGTATGTTTTTTATACAGATCTTTCTGAGTGGGCTAAATGAGCTGAAACTTTGCACACCTATGTTTTGGACCCCGGCGCAGAACATAGGCTACTTTTCGCAGCGATTTACTAGATCCTTCTATTGATTTGTTGATTTATTTACTTACATCTGGGAAAATGAGGCTTGACATGCTCAAACCAGTCATTTTGCCATGGTCATGTAGTCAGGGGATAGTAAAGCTCATTTTAATCTCAATGTCGGAAAGATGCGGGCAATTCGTTTCAAAGCCCTTTTTGCGCAGAAATGGGTAACTTCTTCTTACAGGGGAACCGTGTCGAGTCGAAGTGGCCTTTTTAGATGAGACCCATACTGCTTTGAAGAGCATTAATCGGTGATTTCAAATCTGCTTTCCAAATCTGCCAAGCGCCTCTGGACGCCAAGTTATGCTCGTTTTTCAGGTCAAAAAATTGAACGCAAAACTGAAGCAAAATCGCCTAAATTTGCTCAAATGGTCCAGTATCAAGTATCAAAGCTGTTTATGCAATG